AAGAAGAAGAAGAAGAAGAAGAAGAAGAATATCAAAATTATTTTAGTCAAACAAATTTACATTTAGACTGATTTAGATTGATTCTACCACCATGCCACTAATAATCTATTAGCAACAGTAATCCGTTACCAGCAGTAATCTGTAATCAACAGTAATCCATTACCAAAAGTAATCCATTACAGACAGTAATCCATTACCTGCTGTGCTTTCTGCAGCCAGAAGGAGGAGTTGGCACAAACCGTGTTGTTAAATTCATGTGCAAAGAATTCACTGCAGACGTGGAGCCACAGGAAGTCGTCCTCCGCTGCTGACAGGTACCAGGCTGCGTCAGAGCAGGTGGCGTGCAGGTCGAGTCCCATCTGTCCCCCCGCAGGACGGACCGACTGGTTCTCCCCTTCAAAGAGTTTGCAGTAGAGGAAGACGGTGAAGTTGGACACACCTGTCAGGCCTGGGATGGATTCGTTACATGCTGCTTCCAGGATTTCTGACGTGGTGAAGAAGTCCAGGTCCTTGACCTGGTTCTGGTCCGCTCTCTCCATCTGTGGCAGAGAGAAGTGAGGCAGGAGGAGACGATTCTGTTTGGACCTTGTTGGTGAAGGATGGGCCGCCCTTGAAGATGCCTTGGCCTTTGTTCGCTGCGACCCCTGCTGGTGTCCCTCAGTGGACGGGCAGGACAGGAATGGTAAGGAGTTTGGGAGACCCTGAGTGCTAATCCCTAAGGCCTGAGTGTTCCATGTCAGGTTGTGTCTTATCCCCCTACATGTGCACGGACAGATGGGACAAATGTGAGTATTTTCATGATCAATTCACTGTGGGACAGGGCTAATCTGGTAGTCTGCTCACCATAGGATAAGCCTCCTCAGGTCGCCTTCAAGGAGACAAAACAAACAGGACAATAAATCAATCAGGATAATTCATTTGTCAAATTAATCAAATACAAATGAACACAATTTAACTCATGGGCAGAACGCTACTGTAGATCCAACACGTCCACCGTCCATTCACTGACTGTTGCTTTAATATACCGCTGACACACATGTCGTTATTTACACAGGCTGTAGGAAAGTATTTCGGTTTCACAGAATCTCCTGGATCTTAACATCCCATCATCAACTCCCAGCATGTGTTTGTTGAGGCATCAACCTCTGGTCAGCGGCCCTGGCGTGTGTCAGAGCGGCCTGACTGTAGACTGATTAGTATTGTTGAGGACAACGACCTGACTGAAGTTTAGAAAGAACCACGTTCTACCAGACACCGTCCAGATGAACAGTCATGACTGAAATACATCAACTCTGTGAAGAGACATTTTCACTCAGACTGCTGGACACTTTTATGGACATTTGTCCAACTTAATAATCCCATCATCTGAAAGTCACAACTAAGAACGGTTGGGAAACACTGACCTCTACCTGCTGTTGTTGGTTTTTCAGTTCCAGCTATATTTAGTTAAAAAGGGATTTTTTCCATATACAGGAATGTTGATTAATCTTGATTAATTCCACAGCTGCTCTGTGATTAATAAGATTGAAACATTTCCTTTCCTGAAACTGAAAATCAAAGTGAACTGCAGCTCCTGCAGCTCACCACCGGGTGACTGAGCCAACAATGACCGTGATATAGTGTTACTGGCATCACTGAGCGGATAAAGAAGTCAGCCGAGCTAATGACAGCAGTTTTCAATCACCATGGAGGACTATTAAGATTTTAAAGCAGTGTGAGTCACTGTCACTCCGTCCCAGGGGTGAAACCAGGGTCAGACTGGAGGACGGACTGGACTGAATAATAAGCTGAAGGATAAAACTAGACAAAAATAACGTTTTTGTATTCTATTATTGAATTAAAGTCACAGCTATGCAGCACATTTGCTTAAACATACTGTCTCAAAGTTCGTAATGTACTGTGATGTAAAGTTATTTTGATTTTATAAAGCTAATAAGATAAGAGCAAAGACAATATAGCTAACATTAGCTACAACAGTCCTGATACAGACACCAGAGCTAACGTTAGCTACAACAGTCCTGGTACAGACACCAGAGCTAACGTTTGAAAAGTTCTTGAAAAGTGCCATGAAAGTGTTCAAATGCTGAATATAATACCTGTAACTAATCTGTGAATGTAGTTGACCAATGAAAATCCATCTGACACAACATTGAAACTCACCCTCTGAGCATCGGCCCTGACCACTGGACTGTGGTACATCCACCAGGCTGCTGACATCATCAAGCATCGCCATGGTAACTTGCGAAACTTTCTGTCTAAGGTTACTGTACACAGAGCTCCCAACCCTGTGCAGGAGGCCCCTCCGTAGTCCATCCAAACTCTGCACCAGGGCCATGTTTCTCTGGGCCACGTAGCCGCCACGCTCTCCTCCCACTCCTGACCGAGATAACGCGTCCAACAGTAGATTTTGCACAAAGTCCGGATCATCTGTAGATTCCACTCCCTCTTCCAAAGACGTGTTCTTTATCCCATCCTGCCTCATGGCCTCAGGCAGCATACTGAAGGGCTTCACACGTCCAAACGCACCGGAGTCCTTACTGTGAGCAGCTCCTTGTCCTACAGGGTGCACGCTAACCACGGGCTTCCAGTTGCGTGATTCTACCAACCGCAGCAGCTGCTGGAGCCAGCTAACGTTGAAGGTACAGTCGCTTTGGCCCTTCAGGGCACAAATGAAGCCCTGCAGACCAGCACTGGCCTGGCCGTAGGTCCCACTCACCAAGGCTTGAAGTCCAGCCTCCAGCACGGCGCTCACAGTTCTCCAGTTCTGAGACAACAGAGTCATGAGGGGTCTGTGAGGCTGACGTTCAGACAACGTGATCAGACTCTGGAGCAGCCCCAGCAGCCAGTCCCAGTGAGGGCTCCCCCTGAGGGACAGGAACCAGTCCTGTACTTTGAGGCTTGGCCGGGGAGGTACCCGGCCGTTCCACTGGTTCGCTGCGCCGTTCCCCTTTGGCTGGAGAAGGAACTGCAGCACCTTCTCCCACAGCTGCTCCTCATCCGGCTCGGTTGGCGCCTCCTCCAGCTCCGCTCCCATCTCTTGGAGATAAAGTGAGATGTTGTAGAGAAAGCCCGAGAGTCTGTGTCTGTCGATTGGCTTGTTCAGTGAAGGGAGGCTGGTGCTGGGGAACAGACCCAACGACTTCAGACTCCCCATGATATTCCTCACCCACGGGTGCACTAACTGATCCCGACTTGTTTCTTCAGGATCCTTTTGAGGAGCGTCTCCTTTGCTCCATTTTGACAGGATTTCCTTCAGAAAGGCATTTCTTTGGTCTCGATTCCCACTTTCTGAAAGATCACGACGGAGATGAAGACGTTTGTTGGAACATGTCGACAGACTTAGAAGATTCTTGTTAAGCTCTGGTGTGACACTCACCTGTTTTCTCGGGGCATCCAGGTCCCAGTAAAACAGCACAAACAATTAAGGTTGTGAAAGTGAAGGTGGCCATGTCCGGCCTGTTCTCCAGCCTCTTCACACACAGCCGCGTCACATATCTTTACAACCTGCTGAGGAGAAAGGAAGAGAAGTGGGACGTGTTGTTGTTGTCTTCCTTCTTTAAGTGATGGAATGGACCGGGGGAGTAAAGTGTCGTGGAGGAGCGAGCCTATTAAATCTTAATGACTGGTGGCATCATCATCTTACAACTTTCACTGAATGATTACTAAACAAGTGTTGGAGAAGTAGTTAACTCACAAAACCTCCACGGTTTCACTGTTAAAGTCTAAAAATAAAAGCATGAGATTTCACAGAATTTTCATTTAAAGTCTTTAAAATTTGCATTAAATATAAAAAAGTATTATTCCCCAACATCTAATTGTGTAGATAATACATCAGTAAGCAGAAAGTCAGCAATAAAAGCACAAACATAAACATACTGGAGCTATAAAAGCAGAAAGTCAGCAATAAAAGCACAAGCATAAACTAAACACACTAGAGCTATAACTGTTTCCATAGATGATGTTTTTCTGATGTAGTTACAGTGTGCTTCAACAGGGGGCAGCATCAGCATCACTTTTATCACCGTGCTTCAACAGGGGGCAGCATCAGCATTTTATCACAATTCAAAAATTATTGGTGGTTGCCAGAACATCTGAATTCATCATGATCATGGAAAACAAAAGTTGCAAAAGTTTCAAAACAGACCACAAAAAATCTTTTTAATTGAAATTAATTTAATGTAATGTACCAGATTAGGTGACAATGAAAACCATTCAATTTAGTGTGAATACTAATAACCTAATCTTGTACGTCTCAGGACTGTGGAAAAGTCAGTCAAAATTAAATTTAAAAAAAAAATCTGTTGATAAACACTTCAATACCTCAGTGACAGAGTTTTTAGGTCAAGAAAACTTTTGAACAACTCACCGACAGCTATAACGCAGTGATGTCCTTGATCTGTACGTCAGGAGAATATTCCAGCATCTCGGTGTCATTACACTCCCCTCACTCCAAACTGATGTCTGTGAGTAACCTCTGTTTCACCATCACTCTCTGTCCTTCCTCACCCCTCCCACCTCACCTTTCTCTGTCCCACTGCTCTTTTACAACAACAATTTCTCTGCTCCGTGTGGGGTTCAGATAGTAGCCCGGCTTCATGTCTCCACGGTTTTCTGTCTACACAAAAACAAAAACTTTAATTTTAATGATTTAATGTCTTTACAGTTTTTATAAAACATAAAAACTAGACCCAAACAACTAGTCTAGTTTATTGCTAAGTCACATTTTTGGTACATTTTGTATTTTGTTTATTATATATTTACGTAAACGCAGCATAAACTATGCTAGCGTTTATGCTATGCTGATGTTCTACTGTGAGGAGAGTATAACGTAAACATATACAGTGTATAATCCCTCAAATAAATCCATCGTTCACCTGCTAAGATTTAAGTGTTCAATAATTCACTGGTGTTTGTGGTCATTGTCATCGTGTTTGGGCTACAGGAAGGTCAGCGTCCCTGAAACAAGGTGAAAATCTGGATCATGTGAATCACATCCACGACATCCCGGCCGTTCTCTGACTCGGCTCTGTCTCCCGCCTATTAATCCTCCATTGAGCCGTCTCTCAGCTGGGACTCATGTGACTCTGGTTTTGTTGTGGGTGTAGTCTTACTGAGGAGGTCTGGCCCCAGGACTGTGCAGGCTGTCACTGCCTCGACACATTCATCAGTGACGGGGGGGTGAGGGTGGGGGGGGCAGCATCAATTGAACTCTATGCAAGGGCACAGCAGCGGTGCCTCCAGAGTCAGACCACTGTCTGTGGGCTGTGAAACCCAAGAGGGTTGAGTGAAAGGACCTCCCCCCTCCTCCCCCCGTCGGCCTTGGCTGTATGAAACCCAGGCCTGCGCAGGGACAATAACTTCCTCCTGTATTATTGATACCACAGGGAACAGTGATCACTCAGTGCAGCGGGGCTCGATTCACCACTGGAATATTCAGCAAGAAACTGGATCCAAACCTTATGTTCCTTCTCACTCTGCTGAAAACAGAGTCACGGCAGTGGAGAAATCGGCTGATAAAGGCTGTGGTGCTGACTGGAACGCTTAGTGTGGATTCAGAAAGGTCTCTATGTTAGAACAGAGGACAGTGAAAATGAAAACGACCCAATACCAGAGTTAAAACCAGATCTCTCCAGAAGTGTTTGATTCAAACCCACAGACCATGTAGAAGAAGTGGAACAATGGGTTGGAGTGTCTCCTCCAGTCTCCTCCCTGAGACTGAAACATGGAGCATTAGGTGAATGAACCGCCCGTGGGTGTGAATGGGAGTGTGAATACTTGTCTGTGTGAATGAAGTCACTTAGTCCCTTCATCTCCACTTGTCTGTCTTTATTAAAAATAAACAGCTTTAAAATGGTCGTTCAAAGTCCAACACCAGGGCGAGCGGTCAGTCAATGACGTCACGGGAGACTTCACCGTCCTCCAGGGTCTGACCACAGTCACCTCCAGACTGAGCCACAGGAACATGGAGGAGGGAGGAGAAGCCTGAGGAGGACAGACATTCACAGGTGAAGCACCAGTGGACTGGACGAGGACAGAAGACCAAACACCTCCAGTGGACTCACCTCTAGAGGAGACGATCTTGGTGAGTATGTCTGCTCTGTTTATGTCTGCAGACACAGGAGAGAACACACACGATCAGGAGTGAGAGGACAGGGTGGAGACGAGGAAGGAAGGTCAAGTAAAGGAGAAGGAGAAGAAAAAAAAGGAGGTGAAATGGAAGAGGTGGAGGAGAAGATTTAACAACAGGAAGTCCACCCCACCTTCAGAAGGCTCCAGTCGGTTCCTCAGTTCCTTTGATAAACTTTGTACTGGAAAAGAGAAATTAAAGAAAGGAAATTATTGTAAATCTAGTCAAATGGTCATGTGACCTGTCCAGGGTTTACCGACGTGGCTCCCCAACAGCGCCTACCAGGAACAGGAAGTAAAATAAAAAATTATGAATATTTTCTTTCTATTCACACTAAAATGTTGAACACACAGTAACTTACATAACTCTGTGTATTTGTTACTTTAACCGAAGTATTTTTTTACCACTGAATAACTTCAAGGTTCACCCAGACATGAATGATACTTTAGTACCTGCTGTCTTTGCCTCTGGCGCCACCATGAGGTAGAGCCGAGTTATTGCAGAACTAAAAAAAACTAAATCAGCTTGTCCCTTCATCAGGGGGACATCATCTAGCCTGGAACCCATAACCCCTCTGGTACACAGAAGTTCAAATTAAAAATGCCACAAATTAAAATAAAACACACACAAAAAAAATCAAATTCTGTCAATAACAAATGTTCACAACTGTGAGAAATAAAAACACTCACATAGTGTTGAGTCCATTCTGTTGGACGGCGCATTAGTTACAGCTGCTTCACTCTGTCCTGACTGACTACAGTGTCCATTATCAGCAAGAGTTTGACTAGTTGTGGCGCCACCTTCTGAGGCTAACTTGGCTTCATGTAGCATTTCTTCAGGAGGCGGGAAATGCAGGACAACGGGGGCAGAGCGGTCGGGGGGTCTGTTGAGCAGCTGAACATCTATTGGTCCCCAGGAGCTTCTGATGTAAATCTGATACATCACAGGGCTGTCCATGCTCTACCACAAAGACAGACGACAACAGTGGAGGTCATGTGACCTGTACTGTACTTCATGTACTGTGAAGGCAGGTGAAGACTGTAGCACCAGATAAAGACTCACAGCTTTGGGAATTGGAACATCTACAGATGTACCAGACGGCGCGCGGACCACCAGGTGTGTGTGACCTGAGGAGACGTAAACTGAACTGAAGGTTAAAGGTCAAACATTTACCTGAGCCTCACAGAAAACATTTATAAGCATGTGTATGTGTTGTTAAAATATAATATAATATATATATACATATATATAAACTGTATGTATATATATATATATACACACACAGACTGTCCTGTTCTGACAAAAGTATGTATGTATATGTATGTATATGTATTGTACATACCATTATAGCAGTTGCAGATATCTTCATGGTTCAAATAGGTCAGAGTTTACATGAGTGAAGGTTCAACTTGTAATAGAGGGGAAAAAAACCTAGATAACACAGTAGGTGATAAAACTGCAGCAGCAGCAGCCACTTCCACTTCATTCTCTTCATTTTGTGCAGCTGCTCCATCAGTCCTGTATTGAACTAAACTAAATGAAAATATAACTGTGGAAAACTCATGCCCACAATGCCTCGATGGACGAAACGTGAATCAAAAGGATATTTGTTGCAGTTGTCCTTCGTCTCCTGGATGCTCTGCTCCACCCACAGTATCTGCTGGTCCAACATGAGCTCCATCTGCTCCAAGTTCTCCAGCTCAGACTTCAACTGTTCCACTCTGGTGCCTGACACCTTAGCTTCCGACACGTCACCACTTATTTAGAAAAAAAAACCCATCGTGTTATTTTTGTCAGAGGTTTGGATCCAGACAGTGAGAGAAGCGTGAAAACAACACAACTCGAAGGGAAAGACTTACATCCACTTCACATGACTTTTGGATACTTTTACAATCAAACCGGCGCCGTCCAACACGTTGGTGATGTCGTAGATTCTTCGTTTCTGATCCACAGCCAGGGTACTGGCGGCCTAAACAACGTGAAACACTTTATTTTGACATCATGAATTTCCAAAATTTCACTGATCTGTGAGTCAATGACACTGAAAAAATAATTAAAACAATTGATGACAAATAAACCCTTGAATCTTGACCTGGAAGTCTTCGAATACTACAAGTATTTTAGTAGTATTTGTTCTCAGTATTCTCTCACTGAGAATGAGCTCTGTTTGTACATAAATCCTAATGTTTTTGTTCGTCCACCTCCGTCTACCTGGTTAAGGTCGAGCACTCCTTCCTCGGATTCTTGAATCAACTCGACAAATCTACGGGTCAGCAAATGAAGGCTCTTCCCTTTCCTGCACTTCTGTTGATGGTATGAGTTACATCCAAGGTCCATGCTGCGATGAGACACAAACAGAACTGAACTTTTTAGAAAGCTGTTGAAAGAGTTAATAGATTTATGTTCAACTCAATAAAGATGTTTAAAAATGGATATGTGACTTCAATAACTAAGCATACTTAGCATTCTAAATTTACACATCTATTAGAAACCACTTTTTATTTACAGTTTGAGTTTTCTGTCCACCTTGAACTGTTGTTGAAATAGCTCTAACTGTACAGTTTAAAGATTAGTTCCTAACCCAGTTACTCCATGCACCACGCTCAAAAATACCATCAGTTTGACCAACAGTGAAACCAACAGATGCTAATGGTCTTAGCAAAACTTGCATCATTTTCAGTGGGTTAAATTATCTACCTTTTGCTTAAACTACCTAGATTACCTTGTGGTTAGCTCGACCTGAACCACCACAACTGAATCAACAAACTTTGTCTTAAATGTAGTTTGCTATAGACTAATAAAGCTGTAAGTTACACCACTTACACGCAGACTATTGAAAATAGACAACAACTATTTTGTCAACGACTGAATTGTAATTAAAGTTTTAGGAATTACAGCGTATTAACAAAATAAAATGTTATCGCTTAAATTACCTCATAGTTTAACTAAAATTATGATTTTTCATACAGGCAAACTTGACACACAACTACTTCAGACGTTCAAATGTCCCGTTGACCTTGTTATTTGCACCAACCGCTGCTCAGAGTTGCTGTTCGCGCTGCTTTCTCGGTATGAATTAAATCGTGAATCAAATTCATTCAAAAATGTAACGAAAATCCGAGGTTTAATCTGGACGAGTAGCCGGTGTTTACAAAGTCATTCCAATTTCTTGAGTTCGTATCTCCCTCCCACTTTATTTCCGGTAGTCGTAAATACGTCCCTTTCAAATTAAAAGACAAAGTGTCGTAAATGAAATGCAAGTAAAGATAGGGGATAGCTAACCGTACATACATACAATAACTTGAGTCAAAATAAAAAAGGCATATGTATTTATGCATTAAAATGTATAGAACCTAAATGTTCACCAAATTTATTCGCCGCTGCTACTGGACACGTGATCTGCAGTAACAGTCATGTGACGCACCAGCTCGCTTCCTTCTGCTCACACACAGGACAGTTGTGTGGAGAACTGACGCACTCTTGTTTCTGTCTTCTTACGTTTTATTGTGATTTTGTTTTTGACTGTTCGGCCATGTTCTTAGGTAAATTGGTGCTGTGTGTTTTCGCAGTGTGGCAGTTGCAGCTGTCCGTTTGCCGGGCTGATTATGCCCCTGATAGGGTCACACACTTGCCCGGTATGGGGTTCACACCAAACTATAAGCAGTGGTCTGGATACCTAAAGGCTGGACCTGGGAAGTTCTTCCATTACTGGTAAGAGAAGTGTGTTTGAACGATATTTTAGATTTTAAAATGTCTGATATATTCTGGTACCTTTAATTAATTTGGTTTTGGTTGTTACGGAGCAATTAAACAAAAACTTTCTGATCCCCTCAGGTTTGTAACATCTCAGAGAGACCCAGACAAGGATCCTCTGGTGCTCTGGCTGAACGGAGGCCCAGGCTGCAGCTCCCTGGATGGTTTCCTGTCAGAAAACGGACCATTTCATGTAAGCACAGTCACTGTGTATACAGTGTATACCACCTGAGGTACTATAGATATCATACAAGCAATCAATGTTGCCTTGACTTTTCAGGTGAATGACAATGGAGCTACGTTGTACCAGAACCCATTCAGCTGGAACAAGATTGCTAACGTGCTGTATCTGGAATCTCCTGCAGGAGTGGGATATTCCTACTCCGATGATGGCAACTACACAACCAACGATAATCTGGTGAGTTGATGATTCTCAACTGTTTAATCAAATACTACAAGGATTTCCCCTTTTTACTAACTGTACCCTTTAGGTACATGAGGTGGTGGGGGTGGGGATCGTAGGGAGACTGCAGAAACATTGCCTGTTGTGGTCCAGAGGTACAACTAGAAACAGATGCTAAGTAGCAACAGAGATTGTTCTTGTTACTGAAGTCCAACTGTGTTGCTTAATGTTGGTCAGATATCTACAGACTAAATAGTACTTGACGGACAGCTCAAGTTAGAAATGTTTGCTTCATATGTTTGTCTTTCAGGTAGCCAATAATAACTACAATGCCCTGCAGAGTTTTTTCTCAAAGTTTCCCAACATGACTCAAAACGAACTCTTCATCTTTGGAGAAAGCTACGGTGGAATCTACGCACCGATGCTGAGCTTGCTTGTTGCCACCGGACCTGTCAAAATGAACTTAAAGGTTAAACAAATTCTTGCAAACCTTTTGTAGAGCCAACGGTTTGAACAACGGTTTGTTGATGTTTTTTGTTTACAGGGCTTTGCTGTGGGAAACGGTATCACCAGTTTTGCTTACAATGACCAGTCGGTGATCTACTTTGGATACTACCACGGCCTCTTTGGAGAAGAGTGAGCCACGCTTTGAATCCTGTTTAACTTTGTGACAATGTTAGCACTAGTGTCTGTACCAGGAAGGGTGTAGCTAACATTAGCTCATTAGCTATAACATTGTAGCTAATTTTAGCTCTGGTGTTTGTAACAGGACTGGTGTAGCTAACATTAGCCCTGGTCTCTTTAACAAGACTATTGTAGCTAACATTAGTTCAGTTGTCTGTGCTAACGGCAACATGTTCTACACTTAGGTGATACTGTAGATCTAACATTAGTTCAGTTGTCTGTGCTAATAGTACTGTAGACTTAAAGTACTACAAAAGGAAAACTCCACATACATCACAATTTGTAAACAATCACATCTGAGCTAGCATTACCGTACCTGGTAAACAACAAAAAAAAACTTACCAACTTGTCACGCCTTATCAGGCTTTTGTGCTAAAATCACTCAATGCATCATCAACAAACTTAAGGTACTTTACTGCCACCCTCTGGTTAGGAGTCCATGAACCATTGTGACTGGTGTGGTAAATGGTAAATAAAAACAAGACAAGTCTTTACTAAAGTGCAACGGGTCCAAAGGCTGTTTTGTAAAGATTAAATTGTTTGGTGCCCACTAGTGTTCATCGGAGTTTGTAATTTTTTTATTTTTGTAGGCTGTGGCGTGATCTGAACAGTCACTGCTGCCAACAGGGGGCCTGTGTCTTTTACAACTCCAGCTCAAAGACCTGTCAAAATATAGTAAATTGTTCAATTTTCTATACAGTCATAAAGAGATTTTTAGACCAAATTAATGTATGTACATTTTCCACTTCCTCTTCAGGTGTCCGAGGCCTTCCATTTTGTGTATGAAAGTGGTCTGAATGAATACTCCCTGTATTTGGATTGTGAGGGTGGTAACAGGTATCATCCAGCCTACAAGAGAGCCATGAGTCACCTGTTCAAAAACTACAGGAAAAATGAACACAGTCGCAAAGTGAGTGTTGATTTTTCTCTTTAATTTTCCGTTTGTTTTTTCTCCTCTAAAGGCCCCGTGACCAACTCTAGTTGGACATGGACACTGTCCGCTGCCTCTGCAGTAACCGTCTCCTTCCTGTAGTTCACAGGCAGAGTCAAGTCAACCATGTCACTGGGTGTAGTCCCTCCCTGTATAAACAGCACAGCACAGAGGAACTGGCTAAACCAACGTGAAGTGAGAAAAGCTCTGCACATCCCAGACACACTGCCACCATGGGACATCTGCAGGTATGGCACAGTTAAATTCACCAGTTACACAAATGCCTCCAACAGTCTGAGACATGAGTGATTCTGTATTGCAGTGACACAGTTGGTGACAACTACACCATCGTGTACCCAACAATGAGGGAAGCGTATCTGAAGCTCCTGTCTCTGGGTTTACGGGCCCTTGTCTACAACGGAGACACCGACATGGCCTGCAACTTCCTGGGAGACCAGTGGTTTGTGGAGAACCTTAACCAGGAGGTGGCGACCTTATTTTCTCAGTAGGACTAACAATGAAATGCAGCTGCGACCAGGAGGTGGCGACCTTATTTTCTCACTAACAATGAAATGCAGCTGCACAGATTTTGAGCCCTATTATTAGCTGTAGCCGCACTGAAACCAAACCTCAGGACTGAAACCACTGGGACAGACTTAACAACAAAGCTGCATTTTTCTGCTAAATGACTCCAAGTGACCTAAACCCAATGGCCCCACTAGATGGAGCCCAAGTGTCATCGGTAGTCTTAGTTTGAGAACCACAGTACTTAACACATGGCTTATTCCACTACTTTTAATCTGTGATACTTCACAGTATTGTGTACATTACTGTAATATTAGGTAACACAGCTGATCCTAACTAACACCTTAAAATGATTCAATAGAATAGTTCAGATTACCGTACCTTATTGTCATTTTTCTCCTTAGGCAACTACAAGGTACCAGCATTGGATCCATGAAGACCAGGTTGCAGGTTTCTACCAACAGTTTGGAAACATAACCTTCATGACTATAAAGGTATCATCAGTACATTTGTTTATTTATTTATTTAAGTCTGCCCGGTATTGGGTTCAGTCCTGACATTACTTAATAAACACTTGTTTTTCAGGGTGCAGGTCACATGGTTCCCCAATGGGCTCCTGGTCCAGCTTTTCACATGTTCCAGTCATTCATCACAAGCGGGTCATACTAAAGACATTTAGCTAACGCTGCTCTCTGCGCTGGATCAGCAATCAACTCCTGCTTCTAGGATGATTCTCAGGGAAATTAATTCAAAAAAGGAAAATAACTTAAAATGTTCATGTCGTCAGTATTAACGTAATTTTCTTTCAGTACTTTGTGTTTTCTGTATTGTTTCTGTAAAACTTTACTACAACTGTAAAGCAAAGCTACTTGACAAATAACTGTATAAAACCTTTATTTCTCTACTGTTAGCGCAGGTTCTGTTTTGTCCGACTAAACCCAAATACAGAAACAACCGAATTTCCTACGGGCAAACCCATCGCTAACAAACCACTAAATTACTGAGGGCTTCAAGTTCGATACATTGAAGCGCGCCACTAAATCAGCGGTAATTTCCTAATTGCTAACATGCGGCGTGCTAGCTCACCACCAAACACTGACAAACAGTAAAACACCGCTAACAAGTAAAGTCACCCCGTGTCCCCAATGGCGTCCTTTACCTCATATGTGGTGGTATGTGATGAGCACTCACCGTAGACGTTTTCCTGACTTCTGTAGAAAAAGTTTGTGAAGTTTTCTAGATTATGCAGTGAGCCAAGGCGTACTTGTGAAGTTTTCTAGATTATGCAGTGAGGCGTACTCAGCACCACCTACAGGCCAGGGCTCGAAAGCTAAATACTAAAAGCTCACAAAATAATTATAATTTAACAAGTTGAATGACTAAAATTTTGTAAATACAAACCCCAGATTGTAAACTGCATGATTTCAATAAGTCAAGTGTCTTTTATTGAGTTGTTTTTCAACGTATGAATTGACAACTGACATGCTTTGACATCTTGGGTGTTTCCCTAAAACATATCGGTTACAACCTGCCACTCTGTGATTACTGCGAGATGACAGTTACATACAGTTTTATATAAAGAGAGAAAATATTGACAAATGAGGAACGGAACTCCAGCACCTTTTCACAGAACCAAAGAAGGAACAAGAGCAAGAAGGAATTCATTAAAAAAAAAAAAAACCCTTCAGCCTCCAACAATACTTCCAAGTTCAAGGGTTAGTGTTTTGGAAGAAACCAATCCTTCCACAAACACACATGGAAAAGTGATTGAAAAAAAGTTTATGCTTAAGAATACTCAAACATGATTGGACGAAACATGAACCAGTTCCACAGATGATCTGTCTCACTGTGTACTTCATATTTGACTATAGCTTATATGTATTAAAAATCCCTTTGTCCCCTATCCTGTAAGTAAATATACTTATTGCAGATAATCCTGTCAACCGAAGACAAACGAAACGTTTCCACACAGGACCTCAACTTTGGCTAAAACTGACAGCAGAGAGAGCGTTTTATTAAACTGTAGTGTTTTGTTTAATTGTGCAGGTATTTACTATTCATTAGTTACACTTTCCTTGGCTTCGGTGAGCCCATCCTGCTGCAGTTATGTAAAGAAACACAATTCACCCCCGAACACAGTCAAATCAACACAGACTTTGGTCAGATTCAAAACTCATTGGTTAAAATGACAATCAATACAATTATAAACCATAAAACTCTCCACGTTCCTTCCTTCCCATCCTGTCGACATTCGTTCTCCCAGAAACCCCGGCCTATAAAAGTCAGTTCTTACTTCCTGACTGTGGAGAGATTGTTCATCTGAAACACTGTCCACACTTGGGTGTCGGCACAACGCCACTATGGCTGTTCTCTTCCACAAACATGATCAAGTAATAATAATATGCAAACGTAAGACCTGACAGTTCCAGGTTTAACTCTGAGTGACATCTAATGAGTACCAGAATTACGAAGTACCGACTAGTATGGTTGAAGAAGTGTCCAGCTGTAATGATTAAAAATGACAATTAAGTAGGAATGTCCGATATTGTCCTAGCACTTAATTTCTGATTCTGAAATCAACCAATACTGATATAGGCCTGATACAAACCACTCTATGAGTTGCTGGCACCAGCATTCTGCATACAATCCCCTGATTATTAAAATAGATTGATTAATTGAGCTGCAATGCTGCCATCTAGTGACACTTCATACACAGCTATTTTTCCCCAAACCTTTTTTTAGCCTTTCTTTAACCAGAAATCAGTAACGAGAAACATGAACGAGATTCATCAGAGGAATAATCCACAGTACAGTTGATCATCAGAGGTGGACATCAACGACACAATCTCAAAAAAGTACAAAACAAAAAGAATATTTTCATTTAAAACATTACGCTGTAAATAAATTCCTGATTTACTGAAGGATAAAAATGTGCAATTTAAAACAAATAAAAACAATAAAAGGCAACATGTCTGGAGTCACTGAACAAAGTGAAGAGATTCCAGGAAGTTGCAGTCACACCAGCGTGGACGTAAACATGCCGGACGTTGGATTTCCATCTCCATTTTTTTTAATTCTTTAAATTAAGAGACATGAGCGGCGTCTCCACCGTGTCTGTGTCCAAAGGTTCATAACAGCAGCACATGGCAGAGCGGCTCTGTTCACATTAGCTCACAATGTCCTGATAGATGGAGTTGGTGGTGGTTAAACCGAAGATAAAAGCACCGATTGTTACCATGGCGATGCCAAAGACTAACATTCCGTGCCAACTGGGTAAGAGAAAGCAGAAGAAATAGTGTGAGAGAAGCCGTGGTGGGTGGAGTGACCATGTATTGGGGTCATATAAATATATAAATAGATCTAAAATATAATAATATACTGTATATACACATACACATATACATGCATTTATACATACAGATAAATAAATACATTTATACACACAGGACATACATATACATACATACACACACATACATACATATATATTGTGTATATATATACATACATGTGTATATATATATATACAATCAAACAGTAACAGCTGGGGCTCATCAGAACACTGGGGGGTCTCACCTGAGAGATCTGTTGTCGGTCTCTGAAAGTTTTGCTTGCATCAGACACAAACCTGTGAAGTTAAAAAAAATAACAAAAATAAAACACTGAGCTGTGACAGAGAGACCTCTAGTGGCTGACCACAAAGTTCCAGTTCACCTGGGAAGATGAAGATGAAACAGGCGGCCAGTCCTCCAATCAGGGAGATGACACGTCCGATGTCTGGGATGAAGAGGGCCAGGACCAGGGTGACGACGAACCAGATCAGGGTCTGCAGAATTCTCCTGCTCCTCTCACGGCGCACACACACCTCCACCTGCTCGCCCTGGAAACGCAGCCACAGTCCCTCGATAACCGCCCTAGGATGACAGGAAGAGGAGACGCAGGAATGAGGAGGTGGATTTAAGAAAATCTGTTGAGAGTTCCAGAAAGTTCCTGGAGTCTGAAAAGAAAGACAGAGACAGTTTTCATCATCGTCACCTGCCACAGAAGTGTAGGATGGGGTAGGAGGTGACGACACAGATGACGATAAAAGCCCTGGCAATGGCTACAGCGATGTCATTGGGAGGATATGACATCAGCACATCCTGATTGACATTGGAGCCAAAGGTCAGGAAGCCACAGATGCCTGAGATGAGAATCAAAAGGACAGGAATTCAGATGATCAGAATCAGAAGGACAGCCAATCAACAACAACACAGTGTGTTATCAAACACAGTGTTTTAATGTGTGTGTGATAGGTTATCAGTCACACACACACACACACACACACAGACACAGACAGGACCTGTTCCTGTGTAAACGAAGAGGCAGATGATCATGCTGAAGGTGACCACCACGCCCCACGGTTTGATCTCCTTCCTCCTCATGCTGTTGAACACAGGAACACAGCTGACATGACACTGCAAACACAGATAAGACAAAACGCCGACTCATCACTCTGTCACTGGAGGAACAATGTGTCTGTGATGATCAGAGTCGACTGTGGTCATCGTTCAGTGTCTCCCTCCCCCTTAACCACACAACAACCAATGACAGACCTTGAGTTCTGCATGAAAACAATTAAAAACGTAATAATATTTTAAAAAATGATTTTTTTTAAGCAAATTTTCTTTTCCCTTTTTTGTTTGTTTTTTTCCAGACAAATTATTGTTTATTAATTGATGCATTTGGTTTAGGGCTCACAGCATAGTTCCTACCAGGAGATGGCGCCCAAATTGACTACATGTGCGGCCTGATCTGAAGTTGGTAAAAATAAAAGAAGAAGAAAAATACCTGGAAGCCAAAGCATATGGTGGGCATGGCGTTGAAGACCGCCGTCCAGGAGGCAGAACTAGGACAAAGTGACAGTAACGTTAGAGTCTGAGTCTCAACAGCTGTGATTCAAAACAAACACATTCTTCGTCCTCCTTCCTTATGTTTAGAACTCCCTCACAACACACTACGTCACATGACCTCTCAGAGTTGTTAAATATACAGTGGTGTTAAGCAGAATATTTTCTACGAGCTACTACAGTGACCCGGAGTAAAGAACGCAGTGACGTTATGATGTTGATGTCGTCCAGTCAAAACCCAGGCATTGCGTTATCACATTTTTCTTTATCCAATCAAAAACCGACAATGAATCTTACAGATATTACATAATTATGCTAATACCGGGCCGGTCGGCCGATATTATTAGACATCTCTAGTTTATTTGCATCGGTGACGAACAGAGAAATAATCATCAGCAGCGTTTATCTGGACAAGGATGTGACGCCAATTTTAAAAACCTCATAAACAAAGGTTGGTGTCTCACCTGGTGGGGACGAACCCTGGGGTCACCTCTTTGTCCGGCCAGATGTATTTTATGATGATCACCACTGTCACGTACCATGTTCCCATCACACTCAGTGCACTGGGAAAAAAAGAACAGCAGAAATTTAACTGACGATTATATTTTATGTTTTCTCCAACTTGATCAAACGAATAACGATTAGCCGAGACTGGACCCGCGTTCGTACCTTGCATATTTCTGAAAGCCGATCTCCTTAGGAAACGACAGAGGCAGAATAATCAGGATCGCAGTAACAACGATGGTAAACTTGCGGTCCGTGTACCAGATTGTGCCGTCTGTGGGGTGTGTCACGACCGCGATCACTGCAATACACAAAATGAACACATGGAGACCACGAAAAAGGGAAACAACTAGGGATGTCCGTTTATATCAGTCGGCCAATATTATCATAATTATGTTATACCAGTAAGACTGTTATTGGTTGTTCCTCCGGTTATGACAATCTGACAACACCAAATATGCTGGAATCACATGTAGGGTCCTGAGACGTTTACCTCAGTTTTGGGGGCAAACGGCTGAATATATCGGTATCAGAATGTTTGGACAATATCGGCAAATTGTATATCGGCAAAAAGTTAATATGGGACATCCCTAGAAAAAACTCAGAAGAAAAAAACTCAAGACAGGAAGACAAACAGAGAGTGAACGTTAGAAGAAGAAAGATGGGCGTGAATCAAATCTTTTGTGCTGATGTATAAATACAGGAAGTGGTTCACTGAGGTCACGTGATGTCCATTTGTGGAAGATTAAAGGTCAGTGAGTCTACTCCATGGCACAGATGGAGTAGAGATTCCTACACTGTCAGCATGTTAGAAGCCCATCACATGACTGACACGTTCTCTGAGTGGAGTCTTCACTGCTCTTTGTCCTCGTCGCTGATGTCACTGCACTCCAGTTAAAAGCTAATCACTGCAACTGCAGCCTCACAGCAGCTCAAATGACAGGAGTGGAATTTAAAACCATCTCTGCTGTGTCACCAGACTGAACACCCACACGACATCGTCGGCCATCATCCAAATAATCGGCTGCCAAAGATGGCCGATCGAGTGCGTGATCAGTGCAACTCCACGTGTGTATGTGTGGATCTCGGCCCACCAAAACCAAACGTTAGCACCTAGCTGTGGAATATTTGTGGCCTCAGAGTGATTGTACTCACAGCGATCCAGCTGATCTCCAATGACAATAAAGAAAGCAATGCAGGTTCCAAAGGTGTAGACAGCAATGGCCACTTCACACAGGATTCCGGTCACTTTCCCACAGGTGGCTCGGACCACTTCCTGATAAGTGCTTTCATTACAGGCCTGAAAGAACAGAGAACAAAAAAAAAAAAAACAAGGTGAACGGACACAGCGATAAATTCACTGTAAATACATCCCTGTATATCGTTATCATTACAGGCCTGAAAGAACAGAGAACATATATAAAATACATATATACACACATTCATATATAGATATATGAAATACATATATATAAAATACATACGTATACATACATATATAGATACATATATAAAATACATATATACACACATTCATATATAGATATATGAAATACATATATATAAAATACATACGTACATATATAAAATATATATATACATAAATAATATATATATATATAGATACATGAATAAATATATAAAAACTTATATACTGTACATACATAAACATATATAGATATATATCAGCAGAAAATGTTTGATTTTGGATGACATCGTCCTACAGTCGGGCCGCCGCACCAGCTAACTGTCACTGTTAAGAAAGTCATTTGACAAGTTAATTAGTCAAAACCTGGACTTCTGTCCCGGCTCTTTAAGAGTTTGACATGTGGGTGTAAAAACTGTGTTGTTTTGCGTAACTCCATGTTCCACTGACACTTTAACACAGCTGGTCTTAAATAGTGCTGAACGACAGGTTTGTTTTTTGTGCAGCGACAGCAGCCTATTCTGCAAAATAAAAAAAAAAAGTGCTGAACGACAGGTTTGTTTTTTGTTTAAGTGCAGCGACAGCAGCATATTCTGCAAAATAAAAAAAAGACCAAGTGTTGTTTGGTTGCTGTAGTTTGAGGAGCCGAGAGTCTCGTTTGAATCTCAGCTCTGCGGTTACGACGGGAGGATAATTTTCAAAACTTCCCTGTTTTGACAGAAATGAAACCATAAAAATGTAGTGTTTTATTTCCAACAAATAAAACACTAAATACATTTGCAACTAACCTGGGGTTAACTCTGGACAACTATGCGAATAAGTACATTCAATTATTTTAATCAATTGAGTGTAGTTTGAGGGTTTTTGCTGAAATAATTTATCAACAAATCAATATTAAATTCAGGTCACTGTTGACGCCAAAGGTTTTTAGGCCATCCACGTGATTGGTTAACTAAGTAACCTTAGCTGTTGTTATTAAGTTAAGTCAAAGTCTGGACTATACATATAAACACTGTGTATCAGTTTACTGTAGATGGTCGGTTGGATTTCCATTAGTCAGCAGTGTGACACACACACACACACACACACACACTTCTGAGCCAAGACAGAACAGAGAACTGAGATACTTTGACAAACTCATCTTCAAATACCAACTTGGAAAAACGGAGGTAAAGTTCCAGGTTTACAGGGAGTGAGAGACGTAGTGAAGTCAGACTAACCTGGGAACAATAGCCCAGAATCACCAGCCCACTGATGATGAAGATCAGCATGAACTGAAAGACAAAACACAGAAAGGTTCACACTATATTTCAGTTGACCAAAAACACAAACTAAAAAGAAAAGTCTTGTCTTGAATCACTGTGTTCAGTAACAATTACAGGAAGTGATTGAAGAACCTGGGCTGTGACCCAGAACTGATATTATCGGCCGATATCAGCATAATATTGTAATATCTGTAAGAATCGTTATTGGTTTTTCCTCCAATAATGAAAACCCAATAACACAACGCCTGAGTTTCGCCAAATGATGTGTGCACAAAAATAGTTTTGGAAAAACGGATGTACATAAAAGTGCTTATTTAATTAATATCATACTCATTCAGTGGTTTGTACAGATCAATAAATAAATATTACAGGCCTACATCGGCATTGGTTGATATCGGAATCGGAAATTGAGTGTTTTAACAATATCGGCATATCAGATATCGGCAAAAAGTTAATATCCGACATCCCTAGTAATAATTATGACTCGGTATCAGGCCTCCAACATTGTTACTTTCCATGAGTTACAAGTATTGATACTGTATTTATTTAAGTCTTCCTTGACTTCCATGGACAGTCTGTGGACAGTCTGTGGACAGTCTGTCCATGTCCTCACCATCTGCAGCATCACTCCTGCAGTAACGCCTCCTGCCATACTGAAGGCTGCAGGGAAATTGAGCAGTCCTGCTCCCAATGCCGCATTGACTACGATGAAGACGGCGCTCGTTGACGAGACCCCCCCGGTCCTTTTCCTGTCCATGTCTCGGAGGTCTACAGAGTCCACACTGGGGCTCTGCAGGAGCCTGGCTCTTTCTCCAGAGTCACTGCTCCCGACTCCAGCCCAGTCCTCCACATTAGCGTTGATGGCCATGAGTCCACAGGCCGCGGCTCAGCCTGCGGGTCTGAGTTGAAGGGGAAGTTCTCCCGTAGGTGGCGCTGTGGTTTTAAATCCAGTGTCTTCAGCCCAGGGACAGTCAGAAGAGTTTGACTCTTTCCATTTAGTTTCAACCAATGTCTGTTTAAAGATGGTTCAGGGTCTGAAATGAAAGAAGATTTGATCAGTCAACTCAACCCATGTATTTAAATATATATTAAATGTTAAAACATTTAATCTGATTAATTAAAATGTTAATTTATAATAATTAACCATGAGTAATCTAGATAAGTCAATGTGACATTTTTTTGATGTTGGAAATGAAAGGTTAACAACAGCAGGTAGAGGTCAGTGTTTCTCAGATGTTTTTTATTTGTGAAAATTACAAATGATGGGATTATTAATCTAAACAAATATGTCTATAAAAATGTCCAACAGTCTCAGTCTTCCTAAAATAAGTCCAGTCGTTGTCCTCAACAATATTCATCAGTCTACAGTTCAGAACAATCCACCCGACTGTTGTGTTAGTCAGACTGTCAGTTGTAGACTGGCTGACTGTCCTTATCTCAGTCAGGCTGCTCTGACACAGCCGGGCCACTGACCAGAGGTTGAAACCTCAACACAAGTCGCGTTCACCAGAATATTCTACACCTTCTCATCGTGCCATTGAGCACGAGTCACCAGTGTTGGTCCGAACGCCGGTGAAAAACAGGTTTAAAAAACTGCTACAAAATTCACACACATTTAAGGTCAATGATGAGGAGCTCTGACGTCATCAGTACCATTCTGCTCTGTGGTGAAAAGTGCATTTGGCCCAGAGGTTCCCACGTAGTGACTCGTCGTTACAGAGAAGTTAACGATAATACTGTTTACTTCAACGGGGCTCAGTTATGAAATGTTATCACTTATTTTGGTGGAAGCAACGATACCTGACGATGTAGGAATGTAAAAAAAAAACCCATCTATACACGTGCACGCGCGCACGCACGCACACACACCTTTATCTAAAGCAGTTCACCAATGTCGTGAACGGAAGTGCTCTAATCACAGCCTGTCGTCCGTTCCTCCCCCAAGACACGTAAACAACTACCTTTAAGGGAACCTTAAATTCAATAAAAATGTAAGTTTAAATTTAACAAAAACTACACTGCTGTAAAAATAAATAAATAATTTCACGAACCAAAAACTGAGTGTACAGACGTCCTACAGTCACGAACATCAATTTCGGTTTGTAATCGTTAAATGTCGTTTCAATAAGGTTGCAAAATGCACTAGTTTACATTACAATTATCCCACAGATAATAATGTATAATAATAAAAGTGTAAGAACCATTAAAACACTCACTGTACCTTTGTTGTTTATCCTGCGGACACAGAATGACACACAGCCGTTCGTCACTTAGTAAAAAGCAGCAGAGGGGAGAACACGTGATGCGTTGTCACGTGACTAAAATTTACTTTGTGTTTCCGCTTACATGTATTCTGGGTAATATAGTTCTCCGCCCTTTTTCGTCGACAGGGCTTTGAAGAACTAGGACATTTAAGTAGTTTTCCATTTGGTAAACACAATTTAATGTTGAGTTCTAGAGACAAAATAATGACAAACGCTAAATGATTTGTTAAACGAACTTTAGTGAGTGTAGGAAAAAAACCCTACTGAAACAAAGTGTTAAATCATCCAGCTATTGATAGTAAAAAACAAACTGCTGCGAGTGAGTTCAAAGATAATGATAATGTAATCACCAGGACAGCACAACGACTTCAGGGGAGACTCAAATTGAATTGAATGTTACTGAATGTAATTATAATATTAAGCTTTGGTTGTTCCAGATTAAATGTTAACGCAAAACTAAAGTTACATTACAGATCTGGAGAGAAAGGGAAACATGAACATTCACATTCAATTTTTCAATTAATATTAAGTTTGGCCCCAGACTTTGTCCCAGTGTTTAATTTTGGCCCTGTGGACAGTTACCTGCTTATACAGAAGAACCAGAACGTGTGTGAACTGGTGAGAATAAATCCACAGACATTGAAACACAAGTGTTTTTCTTATGGTTTATTGTTTGTTCAGTACAACAGATGACCTGTGATCCAGAATATAACTTAATAAGAGGAACAACACGTTGAAGAGCTGAAGGACTGAGGGACACCACCCGACACCATCCAACATCACCCGCACTTGGTGAAACAGAAAATAAAATACTTTTTTTTATATTATTATCAGCATTGAACGAGTGGCATTCTGGGGTTTGATCTACTGACTGATCAATATCCTGTAGGTCAGGTAGAAAATAACAATCCTGGAACAGACGGACAAATTCCAACCAGATAAGTGTGATTAATTACCAGATAGATGTCTGCAGGTTAACAGGGAAATCATAGTCATTTATTGATTGGTGAATCCATAGTCATGTGATGTTTTCTTCAGACAGTGCCTTTTTGCTTATAAAGTGCTAAAATAAAAGAACCTAAAAATTTAAGAAAAATAATTAAGCTGTGTCTTCTACACAGACTCCACAGATAAGAGTAAACTTTCGGTGGACACGGCCGAGGGAAGCATGGACCAATCACAATTTAGCTCATATATATTATTGTTCTGTGAAAAATGGAGGGCAGAGACAAAACTGAACATTCAATAACATCCAATGAGAAAACAACTAGAAGAACCGAGCGTTTCTTTTCTTTTCTAACGGTGGAATGAAGCAGACACTTAGAGACACAACGAAGCTCCTCATCCACACCGCTGCTTTGATGCTGTAGCTGCGCCCACAGCCTCCGCTCTACTTGGTGACGGCGTGGATGGCCTCAGCCAGGTAGCCCACGTTTCCAGACGTCACGCCGGCCATGGAAATCCTGCCATCCTTGGTCATATAAATAGAGAAATCCTTGGTCAGACGCTCCACCTGTGGACGTGAGAAGGACAGAGGTTTGAATCCTGGTCCATGACTTCACGCCGTCATCAATCACCTGACACTCATCCAGTTCTACACACTGTCAATTACTTTGAATGATTTATACTGGGTACTCCAATAAATCTAAGAGTGTATCCAAAGTTAAAAAGCCAGAATGCTGCAGTGGTGTTACTCCCATCTGCAATGAACTCAATACTGGACTTAAATCCAGTGTGTCCCTAATTCCATGCAGTGACTACAGCTGTGGTGACCCCAGATAAAAAGGCAAACAGAGTGATTTATTTATGGGGGAAAAAAATTAATAAATTAATGTAGAAGATTTGAAATTACATTCTTGTTTCTAGTTTTAATAAAACATGTCGTATAAAAAGTCGTGATGGAAACCACCAGGGGTACTTTGGCTCCCTCTAGTGGCTTATTGGGTAATATGATTAAAAAAAGAAAACGATGGTTAATGGGTGTGTATTTAAGTGTCAGTTGTAGTACTACTTCATTGTACAGTTCGATCTCGGCTGTTCAGTCTAATAATATGATTACAGATTAAATTCTACTGGTCTCAGTAGGACTGGGTAGGTCTGTACTGGTGTAGGTCTGTACTGGTGTAGGTCTGTACTGGTGTAGGTCAAACTGGTGGTTCTTAGACCAATATTCTCAGAGACTGTACACAGGGTACCATTGGTCCAGACCTTTTGCCTTGATCTAAAAGTCCAACTCTTATTTAACTAAATCTATTTCTCTAGCAGGAAATATAGTGATGATGTTTTTTGCCAGTTCTTCATTTCTGTTGTAAAAAGACCTCGATTTAAATGAAAACCAGTTTGAGTTCTGTTGTTCCTGAGTGTCAGCACCTGCTCAGGCTTCAGACCAGTGAAGCAGAACATCCCGATCTGGTCGATGACGTGCTGCCAGTTGTGAGAAGAACCCTCCTTCTTCAGCCCGGCCACCAGCTGCTCTCTCATCTTGATGATGCGGTTGGCCATACCATGGACCTCCTCCAGCCTGGACACAGGGACAGCAGTGAGAACATCAGGTCATTCATCTGAAGTGTGTTGTCGTTGTTGTGGTTGTTGTTGTTGTCGTTGTTGTTGTTAACACGTACCACACTGAGCGCAGCTCCGGGGTGTTGAGGATGGTGGTCGCGATCCTGGCGCCGTTCATCGGTGGGTTGGAGTAAATGGGTCTGATGAGGATTTTCAGCTGAGACTCCACCCTCTTGGCCTCCTCGTTATCTTTACACACCACGGTGAAGCCTCCAACACGTTCACCTGTCATTTAGACACGGCTCAGGATTGGTTCAACGATCCACCTCAAGGTGGCGCTATAAAACTACTTGTTTGTGTGTATCTACGTATACACATATATTATATATATTTACATACATAAATAAATATATATATGTTTGTGTATAAGTGTATGACTGACCATACAGTCCCATGTTCTTGGCGAAGGACTGGGACAGTACGATGTTATGGCCCTGTTCAATGAAATGGCGTACAGCCCAGGCGTCGCGGTCGATGTCTCCGCTGGCGAAGCCCTGGTAGGCCATGTCGAAGAACACTAACAGGTTTCTTTTCTGTGGGGAGAGAGAAAAGTGAAAGAGATACAGTTAGGGATAAATGTGTCCAAAATGTAGACATTAAAGGAGCAGTTCACAAACTTGTCGTCTTGGTGTCAACGATGCTGACTCACCTTCACGACTTCAGAGATCTCCTTCCACTGCTCAGGTCGAGGGTCCACTCCAGTGGGGTTGTGGGCACAAGCATGTAACAAGATGACACTCTGCTCTGGGATTTTCTGTGAGACAGAAGTATGGAAGGTTTGAATTCAACATTCAAGGTCATGGAGATCATTCAAGGTCATGGAGATCATTCAAGGTCATGGAGATCACAAACCAAAGCTGACGTAACATACTGTAGTTAGACTGTGAAGTTCACATTAAATAGCACTGTGTGTGTGTGTGTGTGTGTTGACCATGAACAGGTGAACAGGTGATAACAGACTGTGTCATATCAGTACAAAGTGTGTGGTTATGTAAATACATATCTATACATTTGACCTTTTGGATAAAAATCAACAGAAGTTTTACTGTAGTACACATTATATAGTACTTCATACAGAGTGTTAACTCTGTATGGACATGATACTACATCCATACAGAGTTAACACTAGGGGGTGTAAGAAACAATGTTAGCATTGGTAACATTTCTTAATTCATTGTTTATTTTGGAATCTGGTCCAAGGCCGGATTAGATGGTTCTATGGGCCCGATTCAGCCCGCGGGCCTCCAGTTGATTATCATTGGTTTAAATCATTGTCTCTGTTGTGAATTAAAAACCTACAGAAATGTCTTCCAGGGCTCCGTTGAAGTCAAAGCCGCAGGTGGAGGGGTCGTAGTATCTGTAGGCCTTCAGCTGCATCCCAGCATCCCTGAAGATGGGGGTGTGGTTTCCCCAGGACGGCTTGGGCAGATACACGTCACGCGCACCTCCATGAAAGCGAGACTAAAACGAGACAAACACCTGGTCATGAATCTCCGGCCAGAATTTCATCTTCTGCAGAAAAGCAACAACAAAAAGGTGAGAACTTTACCAGGAAGTTGGCTCCGATGCGCAGAGATCCAGTTCCTGAGATGGTTTGTACAGTAATGTTCTGTACAGAGAGGGGGAGAGAGGGGGAGGGAAGGGGAGGTCTGGGTTTTAAATACTGTCATTTCAGATTTCAACTTCATTTAATCTGGAGGACCCAACAGTTCAACTTACCCTTCCGCTCTTTAAGACTTCATTCTCGGCACCGAGAGCCAGCTGAGCGCAGGCTTTGTTGAACTCCCCCAGACCCCCGATGGGCAGGTACTCCTTATCCAGCTGTTTGGCTGCAATCAGGGCTTCTGCCTGTGAGGACGGTGAGGAAACCAACAGGTGTCAGACATTAGCACGAGAGCTAACGACAGCAGTTAGCTGTTGTATATATTCTTTTTTTCACATTTGGAGTTCAAATACGGGGATGCCATTAAAAGTTCTCGTTCCTGTAGTGTTGGTACTCTAACATCGGTTCCTCTTCCATTCATGCTACATTGTAAACAAACCCACAGGTTTTGTTTTTTTTTTTTTACCTTGCGGACACAGCTCAGCACGAATGGTTTGCCCTGGTCGTCCCTGTAGGCTCCGACTCCCAGGTTCATTTTCTTTGGGTTGCTGTCTCTCTTGAAGGCCTCGGTCACCCCCAGGATAGGGTCGGGGGGGCCCATCTGCACTCCCCCCCACCATGAGCTGCAGAGACACCAGATTAGATGGTGGTTAGTTCTGCCGTTACCCTGTATCGTGATACGTACCGTATCCTCAGATTCTTGACAATACTCCCCTGTACATATCTATGACCCAATGACTAAAGGAGAACAATGATAAACTCAAAAGACAATTAAACCACGGAGGTTCCCATCATGCACTGGTCGCACCTTGTATACCAGTGTATGAGGCCTGTTTCTGTGAGTGGCTAATGCTGCAGCTTAGCTCCTCATGTGACCTCAGCACCACAGCCTGACATCAATCCCATGAGCAGCACATGCTCAGTGAGCGTGAGTTTAATCAAGAAACCAGAGTTAAAATCCAGGAGCGGTCCAAAAAAGGGACTATTTTTGGTTTTGTTTTTTAAGTCAAAGTAGCTTAAAATGAATCAAATGTACAATATAACATGACCTATTGACTTGTTTTCATGTTGACATGTAGACTCTTTTCGTTCTAGTTTACTATTTATTAGTTCACTTACTTATCAAATGAAGTGTTTGTCTGTCTTCCTGCACATTTCAAAATTATTTGACAGTTATTTCACCTTAATAGAGGCAGGGTCTGAAACATCAGACTTTGACGTCATAAATGAAACTTGTTGGACGTGGACCTGGTAAGACAGGAATGGTTTTGTGTCCAAGGCGTCGCTGGTGCTCACCAGTCTCGGGTTACTTCTACTTTGTAAACTGAGCGACTAAATTTAGGACTGAATACTTTTCAAAGGGCACAGGCCCCCGATCTTCTGTCCATCATTTGGAAAATAAATCTAAATATGTTTTTGAAAACGCATCGATAAAAATTTTCAGACTATTACATACATAAAAGTAAACTGATGCCAATAATAATAACACAAGTATTGTATAAAGTACTTTGCATAACGTGCAGAGATACTTGCAAACTGTGTAGAACTTCAATGAAAAGACACAGAGTCAGAAATCAGATACAAAAGGAAATAAAAACCAGACTCAGTTCAAAGCGTTCTGTGTTTTGGGAAAGTTGTTCTGCTGGGCTAGGTGTGGGTTTAAAAAACATTTTGTTGATAAAATGTGCCGGTTCAAGTCCAGAGAAATGTTACATCAGTAAGAGTTCGACTTTAGAGTCAAACTTATAGAGATATGACACAAAGTCGTCAATGCCACGAATGATAAAAAGACTGATAACCTGTGTTTGGACTCTCACGTCTGTCGTCTCAGGGCCTTTAATTCACTGTGTTTTATATTTTATATTTGAACTGTGGTTATTTCATGGACAAACCTGCTGATAAAAGTCAAATAAATTAAACACAAACATAAATAATACACTGCTGCACAACATAACTCAATTTAAATCATGGTACAGAGCTGCTTTAATATCTGTGTCTGAAAGCACTGACAGACTGATAGCACTGTCAGTACTGTCAGTACTGTCAGTGCTGTCAATACCAGTACTGACAATCCCAATACACAATACTACAGCAGAAGTAACTCTTGTGCAAATCAATAGCAGTAAAATAGCTAGAGGGAAATGTAAATATGTAACGTTCTAGGTTTTTCATTTACTTTTCACTTTTGAATTTTTCATTATTGTTTAGTTTTTGAAAAATAAATATATTATTATAAAGGTTTTTTTTAAGCTTCTAGATGCTTCTAAAAAACTACTAGTGAGCGACTGGACTTTTGGACCAAACTCGTGTAAACAATGTGTAGGTGGGAGAGAAAAAAAGGAAGCGTTTTATTCTGGGAAACTAGATCGTCATTAAACACACACAGAGAGAGAGAGAGTGACAGAGAGTGAGGGGGGAAATGTCAACTGTGTGGAAACTGAAACACCGTGTTGTAGATGAAACGGGAGAACACGGGCCTTGTAATACAACGTGTACCTTCTCGTGTACTACACGGAAGATACGAAACCATGGAGGTGGGTCTAAATCTACGTTTGTCCTCCAAACAGAACCAGAAAGGACACCGGTGACTGGTTCATCTTCGACGAGCTAATCAGCTCTCAGAGAAGGGCCGCTACAGCCAATCAGCGAACAGTTTTCTCCCCAGCTACGAGAAGTCGCAAAGCTCAAAATGCTTCTCGAAAAGCCATTGCGAATGTGTAAATCCTAAAATGATATTATATTTCATACATAACAATTACAGACCGACCATAAACAGTGATATACAGTAAGAATACTGAGTGTCAGGGCCAGGTGACCGCTCAGTCTTGTAAAGTGCCAATAAGCGTAGCTAAAAATGAAGTTACGCTGCTGAACTAAATCGCAACGTGACTTTTATTAGCAGCGCTACAGGATTAGCACCGCTACGTCGCTTTTCTGTCAATTCAATGGTCCCTAGAAACAATGGTGAAGATTGAGCAAGTTTTGGAACCAGTTAGCACATGACTACACCTTAAGGAGCATCCTGGCGTCGCCAACACCGTTTGACCTCTGTCAGTAATTGCTAGCGGGGCTAGATGGGCTAAAGTAGTGACAGGACCTGCTGTATAATATGAAACAGTCACAATACCAACGACGTAGACACGTCCCAAAGTTCACTGTATAAAAACAGAATCAAATGGAAGAATTTCGCAACCGTGTTATGGCCAATGCAAACAACCCCTTCGCAAAACAAACCTGTAAAGAATACTTTCGTGTCCGCGGATTATTATTATTACTTTACCAGTGTCAGTTGTGTCTTACCTGTGGCGGCTGGACAAAACTCCCAGAGCAGGAGAAATGTTCCCCAGACACTGAATCACCTTGTTGGACTTGAGGAGAGCCATTGCTGCGGTGCGTGCCGAAGTCGAGCGGAGAAGGATGTGAGCGGATGCGGAGGGCAAGATGAAGTACAACGTCACGCAGCGACGTCAGTGAGGACGTGCCTCATCAGAGCTCTGTACGACTACACACCGACGCTTTGGATATTTAAACTAAATTGAATATTTAAAAATGAATATAAAACAATCTGAGCTCTAACACAAGGGCAGATTTTATGTCAGAAACACAGGCTGATTAGGGCCTTAGGGTTTTCTCATTGGCTTTTAGATCATTAAAAAATATATTCATACGGTAAAATGCATTAAAATGCCTAATTCACCGAGTTTGTGTTAGCTGTCGCATTTCATCTAATAGGCAGTTCCAAAAAGCATTTCTACCAACACCAAAACTCTAGTTTTTAATTAGTGGCAGCATTCTGCAGTACTACTATTCGTCCACTTGGGGGCAGTATCAGACAAATGGACTTTGTTTTTGTTAACGCTGATAGAAATGTGAAACTCAGATCGAAATATATATATATATATATTACCACAAAGAGTGTTTATAGTTGCTTGTAAATCCAACTGTTAGAATATGTGGTAATATTTAGGAAGAAATCCGAAAACGATCAACTTTGACTTCGAAATAATGATAAAGTACTGCAAAAAGTCTGCGTTGAATCTCTTCTCTTTATCCATGGTTCTTAGATTGTAGTTACAGAGCAGGTTAGTACCTTCAAGGAACAATTCGGTGTTTAAAAAAAAAATTACAATAACATCTATGTTGAGGCTGTGGATGTCCCTCTAGTGGTATGTGTGGGAATCCGATTATCGTTAGGAGTATATGATTCGATTCCATGTTGCTCCCACATGTTTTGTGGTTTGAAAATTTAATTTAATTTAACAAATCAATTATGTTTTGATAAGTACTTTTTCTTCTCTGCACTACTGTATTTTATTTGGCCATACTAATGTACAAGAGACATAGACACAGTTTGATCTGTTCCCTTTTCACCATCATAAAGGAGCTGACAGATCAATAACAATAAGATTTTTTATATTAAAAAAAAGACGAGAAATGCTGTAAGTTTGTATTTATTTGTATTTATTGATCTCTCTGTAACATCTATAGTAGAGCAGTTCAAGCCTCAAATATATTAATTAATAAATAAATCAGCGTAGTATCAAATCAAACAGAACAGATAATGACGTATATATAATAAATAAATTAAATTCCTACAGAAATAAGAGCATTTTAAGTCCAGTTGGAGAAGAACATATATGAGGACTAATTATATTTGAAAATACAAATTTTAAAATACAATTACAAAATAATAAATGCACAATAAATTTCTACTACGTTTAACTGTGGAACTGAAAGAGGAGGAGGTGAAGAGAAAGAAAGAACTTGGCTACGGCTACGAAAATCAAAAACGCAGTGTCAGCAGTACACAGTGTGCAGTGAAGCGCACTTTACTGTAAGTAGTGTAGCCTGGGTTAGGGTCGCACATGCACCAGGGTTCGGGGGAGGTGGGGTGGAAGGTTGAGCAGGGGAGAGGAGGGCAGCTGTGGTCTCAGACGGTCAGGTCACAGTGCAGAGTCCCGGCAGAGGACGATCTCCAGCTCAGTGCGGTACAGTTTCCCTCCATCAGACAGAGCCATGATGCTCTTCTTGTACCCCCCCAGTCCTGATGCATCCACATCCTGTCAAAAAACACAGTATCAGTGGAGGGTTAAAGTCACAGAGGTCACAGTTACAGTAGTTCAAGTCTATATTTGGCTAAAATGACAGACGCAGGGAAACAGTTTTATTACCATTTTGTTCTTGTCCCTGAGGTCCTTCAACAGAGCATCCAGTTCCTGCAGTGGAATGTATCCACTGCCATCCTGAAAACACACACACACACACACACACACAGGTCAAACCATGGGTTCACAACAGGGATGGCATGATATTAGCATAATCATGTAACATCTGTGAGAAACGTTCTTAGTTTTTGCCCCTATGTGGGGCTGTCTGGAATTCAAATGGGGTCACCTCAAATATCTAGTAATTCTTTTGTTGTCAAAATGAGGTCAGACACCAGAAAAGATTGGGAAATACTGAAATAAAAGTCAACACACCAGCAAAACAACAAATTCCAGTGTGATCTAAAAATCTCTCTTCTCTGCAGGAAGAGTTTGGTAAACACTGTGATTCAGAACAAAGATGCTGTGATACCTTATCATAGAAGGTGAAGATGGAGTCGAACTCCTTCACTGTCAACTTGATGCCCTGTGAAAAAGAAAGAGTTAATAACCAGTGTCCAATCACAGGGCTGGATTCTAGCCAAGCTTTATCCTCTCATTTACTCTATATTTATAAAACCTTTCAAAACTCGTAAAAAAAACTGAAACCAAAGAAATAAGAAAAACAACCTTCACTCAGACTTGTGATAAAACTGTGATGTCTGTCAACGCAGCAGCGCCACCTCTGGGTGAGGGACTCAGTAGGAGTGCGTGACAGTGTGATGACAAATGTGGCTTTGCTCATTTCTCATATACATAATGTGTTTCAAAGCAATATTTACAAAGAAAAGTAAAAGCCCCGCCACACCCAGGGGAGGTATTAATCTGGGGAGATTATCATAACTGGGGCTGGAGTTGAGTTAATCCTGATCAGACAGACTAATCCTCTCTTAGAAAGAAATTGATCTGCTTTCCTGAGCCACTGTATTATCAGATCACATGTCAGACAGGGCCACAAATACACCTTGGGGATTTATGCCATTTGACACGGAATGTGTTTATTTGTATGTTAATATGAATATATTTCATATATATGAATTATTTATATATATATATTTATATTACATTACACATATACACAAAATGTCTTTTTTTATTCTAGTCTAGCTTCCATAACAAAAACCAGTCTCAGATCTTCAAACACTTGATCAAACTATGGGCCGTGGGCCAGATGTGGTCCGCTGGGCTTTTTAACCTGGTCGACAAATCCTTGATGAATAGTACAATGAACAGTAAAGACCGATGTCATCCTTCTGTTTCATGCATTGCAATGAATCAACTGTATTTAAGTTTATGCCACTAGATGGCGGCAGACATCAAATGTGCTAAATTTTCTTTAGGTTTAGGTTTAATCTTGTACACATTATTAAATGATTTCGCCCAAATATCCTACATCCAACCAATACCGAACTGACCGACTGGTCAAATTTTGAACCACATTTTAGCCCGTGAGCCAGTGTTTGCCGACACCTCCGGTGACTACAATCGATCCGGGAACTCTAGCGGGACATACTANTTCTCCTGCACTGGCAGAAGCCTAGGAAAAAAAATACACACATTATCGAAACCTCGAGGAAAAAATCAACATTTTCATACAAACTCACATATATTTACCTCGCCATCTCAGACAGGCCCAGCTTACCATCGCCGTTCAGATCAAACATCCGTAGCTGTGTGTAAGGAGATTAGCATAGAATCTGTTACAGAATCGTAAACACAATGTGATCATGAGCTGCACACACACGTATATTAACACTGACATGAACCGACGCTCCTGACATCAGATTACGCAACAACACTTTCTGGACTATTTGTGGCACATAAAGCATACACACATATATACATATATATATATATACACACATACACAATAGGCTTAAAAAACATTGATTCAATATATATTTACATAACATGTTAGTTAGCCGTTAGTTTTGTTTTTTGCTACCCATTACGGGTTTATATTTACATAACATGTTAGTTAGCCGATAGTTTTGTTTTATGTTACCCATTACTTTTTTTTCAGTTTAAATCCTACTTTTATAAAACCTTTTTCTTTTAGTTCTTTATGGATTTCGCCATGATTCAGTTTGAATGTCCACTGCTGCAGTGTTCAGTTGTCACGGACGAAGATGTGCCCTCCTGTGGCCATATATGGTATGGCGTATATTAATGATGTGAAAGTCGCTTTAGAATATACTGTATGTAGCATGATCAGCTAAACTACAAAAAGTGCTCTCAGTCTGGTGCTCCTTACTTTTGTCTTGTCATGTGAAATATGTAAAACTACAGGCGACGTCTACAGTGACATGATGTCCCTGAACTAAAAGATAACTCACGATGGTCTGCGTGTACTCGTTCAGCTTCTTGTCATCATAGTTTCTGTTCGCTTTCTTCAGCAGGTCTGAGAGGAAACCCTGCGGAGAGAAAGGAAAATAACTGTCAATGACGGGCTAGCGTACCGTAGCATGTAGCATGTTTAGCAAACAACACACATGGGTGTTGACGTTGAACGGCGACCTTTTAATATGAAAATCTGTCCATCCATCATCTATACTGTTAATCCTCAGCAGGTCAAAGGAGGAGCTGCAGCTAATCCCAGCTCACAGTGGGGGAGGAAGGGGGTCTAGACAGGTCGGGATTGTACTGTTGGATTATCGCACAGTATGATGGACTATACTATCGATAACATGCAGCTTCAGGCCCGGTGTCGTCTTTTACGTCTTATTTGACTGTGTGTGAGATTCACCTTCAGCTCGTTTGATTCGATGTATCCACTGCGGTCGGTGTCATATCTCCTCCAGGCCTGCAGGAGCAGCAGCAGCAGGAGAAGAAGAAGAAGAAGAAGAGTGAAGCCGTTAGACTACAGTTCATACTTTGACTGATTTAGCACAACAAAAAGAAGTAAAAGTACCGGCCACTCCGCACGACGCTGTGCAAGTATTTAGTCCAAGTCCTCATCAAAGATAGATACACCCCCCACCCCCCCACACACCCCCCTCAGAATACTGTCACCCATTCATAATGTATGGACGTCTGAGAATAGCTTTGAGTGTTTTCATCACAATGACCCAGATGTTCAGTTCTTCAGTGTTTTCACTGTAGACCACCAAAGATCTGAGAGAGAGAGAGTTTCTTTTTTTTATTCTTTTGTTTTTATTCTTTCTTTCTTATCTCATTTCCCAGTTTTTTCCTCTGTTCCTTTTGTTTTCTTTTTCTTTCTTTCAGTTTGTCTCGCTGCCTTTCTTTCCTTCTCTGCCTCTTTTTTTTCCCCTTTTTTCCGTCTGGTTCTGTTTTGTCCTGATGTACATCAACTCACAGCCATGAATTCACTGCTGGATCCCACGAACTCTCTGAAACACAGCAGGAAGTTTTCCTCCGTGGGCAGAATTGTGGCCAACTGTAGAGAGAGACAAAAAAAAAATCATATTATTATGATTGTTTTTATAATAATTCAGCTCCAGTCTTCAGTCCAACACCTGCTCTTCTCACCTCTGACATTTCGATCCTCCCGTCAGCGTTCTTGTCAAAGTTGGCCATGAACTCCTTCAACTTCTCTTTGAAGACAGCCTGGGAAGGCTCCTGAAGGATGATGGGAAATGTGAGTTTCATCTTAAACACACACACAAGTACTGTGGCTTCTGTTCTGTTCTGTTTACCCCCAGTCGTTAAGGTCATTCAAATAATAACCTGTCTGAGGGTGAAATAACATTGAAATATGACTGTGAAGCCATGACACTGACGGTTGTGGGTGTGAATCCCCTCACCATGCCCGCTCCTCGTCTGGACTTCTCCAGCTCTTTGAAGAAGTTCTCCAGCTCCTTTCCTTCGATGTAACCGTTTCCTGTGGAGCGGCAGAGAAACTTTGAACGTTTTCAATCGTTTGACTGCCGTGATAAAACACAGATATGCAGTTGTTTGGTTCATTTTGCCCACTATGGTGTCTACAAGGCTGCTGGGGGGGGGGGGGGGGGGTTTTTTTTCCTAAAAACACACCCCCCCCCCCGCCCCAATCAACCCATGATTCATACTTCTCAATATGAGAGTTCAAGTTTGTTTGAAGTTTCATTTTATTATATTACTACGTGACGAAACTAGCGTACCATCAATGGTCTGCCTACCATGGTTTGAGAACCACCGGCAGAGAATTTCCCCACCAAGATTAACATGTTACATTTACAGTTTTTATAATATTTTGTAACATTTACAGTTACAAAATATTTCTAATATATTTCCAATATATTTTCTGGATATATCCCTCATATATAAAGGACATTCTGCAGCAGAGGCTGAAAAGATGGGATAATGAGCTGCAATGGGAAAAACCAACCGAGGGAACGATGGGGATTTGGGTGTGGAATGGTGTGCACCAACTGTAACGCTCACTGCTGACCGTGGCAGGACCGACCCATGATTTAATAACATAATTTCCATCAGTCGTTTGTCAGCGAGCCACAGTGGCACGGAGAAGTGTTTGATTTTAATCACGGCCGCGAGTCACATCTGTCTGCAGACGGCAGGGATTATGGGGTTGACGTAATCTGACGCACAGAAATAGACATTATTAAAATTAAACACAGATGTAAAGAATAAAGTGAAGAGACTCGCATCCCTGTCCTTTCATCTCTTTAATCTCCCAGCCTCTCATCTCCTCCACTTTCTGATCATTTTCTTTCTCACCCCTCCTCCCCTCGGCCTTCATTTACACATCGCTGCGGTGGTTGGCCATCTGTGCTCCTCAGAGCTGAGGTTTGTTGTTTACATTTGACACACAAAAAAAAAACTTGAACCAAAACAAACACAGGAGACAGGTGGAAACCCAAGGATGTACTGAAGATTATACGCAAAGTAAATGTACGTATCTATTTATAACAAATATGTTCACCTACTCAAAGCTGTAGTACACAAGAAACTGTACGAAGACATAGAATCCAGCCGGGGTGTTAGCCGGGTTAGCTTGGCGTAGCTTTAGTAAAGAATTTTGTAAAATTGTTAATACACAGTGTTAGCTCACGGCACTTGCACATTAGAGTTTACTGTAGTATATGTTCTAGTACACACTATTGTGTACTAGCACAAAGCTACGCTACACTGCAAATAAAACATGGCTAAAGGAATAGATGCTAGTGCGCCGAAGGTAAACCATACGCAGAGAAGACAGACAAGTGTACGTAGCACCACCTAAAGGCCACATAAGGACAGATACATGTTCAGTGGTGACAAACAGAAAATACCAAAATACTTAAAAAATAAAACAGCACATACTACGACTTACATCTACTTTGATGCTGACTTAGTGACAAACAGAAAATACCAAAATACTTAGAAAATAAAACAGCACATACTACGACTTCCATCTACTTGAATATTTAGATCTGCTAAACTAAGTCTGCCTTAAACATCAGCACAACAACAATAATAATAATAATTATTATTATTGTTCACATTATTGTCATGATTATTATTAATATTATATATTTTTTTAAACGTTTTACTGAAGAGAATCAGGCTGAAGAACTGAGGACCATGTGAACTGACCAGAGTGACCATCAAAGACTAATTCATGGGTCTCATGAGAAGCGCTGACTGTGTTGGCTGAATTAGTGTCGACCGTATAGTTCTCACTGAGTTTGCACAAACAGCACGGCTGTAAAAGCCGACTTAATTTAAGGTTCTCTTGGCCCCGGTTCTCCAGAGTCAAGAACATTTTTGCAATTAGAACTGGCACTGCCTTAAATATCTGCAACAGTTTGGAGGAAGTTTCATATTTAATTCATAGCTCTGGACCGAAACTTCTGGAAATAAATACACTTCTACTGCAGAGAAGGTTTAAAAATAAATTAAAAAAAGTCACCACCTCTGTCCAGGTCAGGAAAGTTCTGGATCGATAAGTCCGACGGCTATTTACACTTAATCACGATTTATATTTAAATCAATACCTGCTGACCCCTACAGGCCGTTTGTCCACAGATGACGCAGCAGAAACACACACACATGTACCAGCTGCAAATGGAATATTTAAATGAATGTGAATTCATTACAAAAGAAAGTCAGTCCAGGTCAAATTCAAAAGTTCTACAGTAACAAGTGTTTTATTTTAATGTAAAAAAATGTATATTTTAGATTTAAGGAGCAGATGGAGGAGTCAGGTTTATGAAATAAAAATGCAATTAGTGAAATTTTAAATAAATCAAAATAAAACTTAGCCCCTAATGATTCACATCCTAGTACTGGTCCTTGGGGTTATGCATCGAAAAGCCCCACCCCCCTGCAGTACCTCTGCGTACCCATAGGGTTGTTCTTCCTAAACCTTTGTTGCACTCCTCCTCCACTTATTGAATAAAGTAAATTAAAAAACAAACAAATCTGGCTTGATAAGAAGATATTAAAATGAATTTGTATTGGTGTCCCACCTCTCCCATGCCCCCCACTTTGAGAAACACAGTCCTTTGTGTTGCCTTATATTAAGGACCAGTTACCCCCCCCCCCCCCCCCCATCCTTTGGCTGTTTGCTAAAGTTAACATAAAATCCCTGCTAATACTGTAGTACTCCATGTACTCTTTGTATACTGCTTTAATCTTAGGAATACATATTGTGCCAAGTGAGATCTGATGGTATTAACAAAGACAGCGTTAATACGAAAAACAAAAAAACAAAAAAAACAAACAACCAAATCACAGATAAAAGTGATTACATGACATGGTGTTTTAATCATCTTTAGTTTTTTTTCCTATTTAGATTTAATTTATTTAATCCCTAAATGTTTTTCTTAAAAATCAAATTAAAAATAAACACGTTCACGTACAGTATGCGTGCACGTTGTGACCTGATGCAATGCACACACGTGCACGCGCATACTGTAAGATGAGTAAGAAGCTCCTCCCACCAGCCCCTCCCCTCCCCATCAGTCTGTTCACACAAACCACTGGTTCGTGATTGTTCTATAAAAAAAATACGATATTCTCATATTCGGTTAACAGATATTAACACATACGTTCCTGCACAGAAATCGAGGGTTCGAATCCCTTTAAGACTTTGACACTGATTATTACAGAAGTCTTTTCAGTTATTTTTTCTTTTTTTCTGTTTTATCCAACAAAGGTTAAAAAAAAATTTAAATAAAAATCTGAAAATTCACTGTAGATACTTTATTATTGAATTAGGTAGATTACATTTAGAATTAATATAGAAACATTAATATAATATATAATTATGATTATTTATAGTACTATTGATGATTGTAATAATAATTATTTAATAATAATTTATTATTGATGTCTAAACATTAACATAAACATTCTTATTATCAATATCGCTAACATTACTGGTGGTCGTCTAGGAAACTATTAGTAATAATAATAATAGTTTATCATTTATTACGTAAAATTAAAATCGTTTGTTATCTTAAACGACTTGAAGCGCGCGCTTTTTATCTGTTGAAAACAGACTATATTTACGTTGAAAAGTAGAGTAAATTTGACTTTATACTGTAAATATTTTTTTCTTTCTTTCTACAATGCAGTAAAGGTTGACTGACCGTCTGTGTCGAAGTGTCTCCAGATGTCGATGAACTGTGCAGCGGTCAGTTCGGCCAGCTGCAGGTTCGGCACCTGCTGTTTCTGAGCGGCCATCTCTGTCTCCGGTTCTTCTTCTGCTCCTTGAATCTGTCGAAGTGTCGAAGTGAAACTTTTCGAGCTGTGGAACGTCCAGGTTGTGTGAGCAGCTCTTCCTCAGCGGGACTTTTTAAATGCCCCCGCCCCCCTTCTCCACTCTCCCCCCGGGTCTTCCTCCTCCTCCTCCTCCTCCTCCCTCTCCTCCTCTTCCACCACACGTTTATGGAGGCGTACTTCTTCTGACGTCCACGTGAGGGCGCCTGAGCTGTAGTGAGACCCCGAAAAACCCAAATCAGCTCGGTTGCCAAGTCTGGTTTATGAAAGCAACTTTGTTTGTTTTTTAAAATAAATTTGCTTGAAAACATTTTTTTTTTTGGTTTATATATTTGTCAAGTTTCTTATAATCAGGAAATCCAGGTGTGGTTTTACCTCCACATTATTTGATGCTGAGCTCCAATCATCCTCAGAATGGTCCCTTGATGTCATGGTAACGTGTTCTTACGTCCAGTGTCCTATTCTACAGAGACATAAAAACAGCTGATAAACAGAGTATATCCATTAAGACAACACTGATCCAAAGTTCTTCCAGTGGACTCACCACCATCCTCCATCCGCAGGAAGGATTGGTACGGTGCAATGTGATTTGGGTGGCGACTGCTGCCCCCGCGACCCGGTAACGGATAAGCGGATGAAAATGGATGGATGGATGGATGGATGATCCAAAGTTGTTGTTAGACTTAGTCTAAGAATGCCTGGTTTGTCCAGTTACAGCATCCATTAACAGAAGCTACATCATCAAGTCAACTTGGCTCCTGATTGGCTACTGCTGCTGACTGGACTGATTTGTTGGATTATAATATGGAACAAAACTATAATAAAAACTAAATTAAAAATCAGATTCAACCATACTTTAGGATTGTGAGATGGTGTGAAATATGTCCACATCATGTTCATACTGTTTGGTAAACTCTATTATATATCATTCAATCGACCCAGCTGCTTGTTTCTTTCTCATGATCTGGCAACACTGTTACAGTGGGATGGAGCAGCAGCAGGAGAGAGGAGCAGCAGGAGGAGAGAGGAGCAGCAGGAGGAGAGAGGAGCAGCAGGAGGAGAGAGGAGCAGCAGCAGGAGGAGAGAGGAGCAGCAGCAGGAGGAGAGAGGAGCAGCAGCAGGAGGAGAGAGGAGCAGCAGCAGGAGGAGAGAGGAGCAGCAGCAGGAGGAGAGAGGAGCAGCCCCGGTCCAGGTTCCAGCTCCGGTCATTATTCATGGTCCAGTTCTACTTCTGCTGCTGTGCAGACAAAATGACATCAAACTATTTCAAATTGTGATGGCAGTGAGGGGGCTGACCCCCACTGCACCTCCCCTCCTCCCACCCGGGATCTATGTCACCACTGGACTGCGGCTGATCAGATAAGGTGTGAATACATTAGACAGCAACAGCTCCCAGCAGCCACTGCGGCAGGAGACGCACCCGTAACGCTTCACTGAGGAGTCGCCCTCTCCTCCGCGTGCTGCCTTCACTGTCCGGCCAAGTTTCACATAACAGATGTCACAGCAGCATCCTCCTAATATCCCCTTCAGCTTTTACTTTCACCTCCTCTCTGCCAGCACCTCCTCCACCCTCCATCATTATCCCTGACCTGCTGAGGTCGGAGGATCACTCACTCTTCTTGGTCAATTGAACTCATGACCTCTTTTTTGCAGCAGCAGCAGCAGCAGCAGCAGCAGCAGCAGCAGCAGCAGCAGCAGCAGCAGCAGTGGCTCCTGCCAGGCCACTAAATCAACCCACCGTTGTTCATTGTGCAGGATGAGCCACACATTCCTCCAATCTTTTTTTCCCCCTTCCTAAACCCCCCCCCTGCTCCCCCCCCAGCAGAGCTGCGGTGAGAAGGACGAGGGTTTCAGATAGAGATCAAATATTTGATCCACCAGGAGGAAAAAAAAATATGTATGTGTATATAAATATATGAAATAAAGTGACTGTAAGTTTGTGTGTAAGATGAGTTTCCTCGTACCCTCCTCACCCCCCTCCCTATCCCCCTCTGCATGAAGGGACCGTGGTACTGTTATTTATAGGTCCAGTCTTGTCTGTTATGTTGAAGAATTATAGATTTACTTGAGCTCTGACTGATCCTCGGTCGGAGGCGTTGGTTACTTATGACCCAAGAATGAATTCTGTTCTTATGCATTTTGTAATTTAAACAGAGCAAAACGTTGTTACCAATACAGTGCAACATTAACATTAAGCTTTAGCTTGTGTCGGTTTGTACTAGTGTTATTGTACGGGGTGCAGAGTGTAGAAGGAATGATGGATTTACAGTTGTGTTAATTCACTGTCGTTCCATTTAATGGAAACAAATTATGGAGCATCACGCGGTCCTCCTCATGTGGTACCAGACTCTGACAGACAATTCATTATCGTTGATGGAAGTAGAGCCCATAATTAAAGGTGTCATGTCTTGGTTTTAGACACAGGGATGAATCAAGAGCTAATTATGGATAATTATGGAATTGATCACCAAAACACCATAATAGTTATACCAGTTATACCAGTTATACTAGTTATACTAGTTATACTAGTTATACTAGTTATTCAGCTGGAGTTAAAACAAACCAGGCATAAACTCTTAGTTCATGACCAGAGACTTTGACCAATCACAGAGCAGTTCAGACCATTCAAGGGTGTAATGCTATCAGCATCTATACGTAGGCTGCCAATACTGCATTGGTACAACACTGCATACTCTGCAGTACTAGACCTAATACTCACTCCAGTCTCTCTCTGCTGAATTAAAATCTGAAATGCAGTTGGATTTTATTACACACATATATATATATATATATATGTTATATTTATATAATAATAATATTGCATATACATATAATTATTAACCATGTAGTTATTATAATGATATACTGTTTTGTATTTTTTGTATTATTTAATTTTTTATATAAGTACGTGTGTGTGTGTGATATAAGAAATCCAAAAAAGACGGAGAAGGACACGAGTTGGCTGTAAAACTGTCTGTTTGTACAGAACCAGACGACGACATCACCATTCTCCACAGGGAACAATTAGGAGGCTCGATCATTCACCAGAAAAGTTCTCAAATGCAAAAACAAATCCTAGTGATACCACCAGAGACGGGAGCGTGAGTCCCCATGATGCAACAGTGCCACCACTGGGCAATAACCTCTCAGATACATGCAATTTCTGGAATTAAATTAAAATTTTAAATTCATTTATTAAAAAAAAAATGCCAGTGAAAATGTGGCTCATCTGCTTATCTTAAACTATAAGTCACAATAATGTGAATTAATACATTTCCTTTGGTTTATTAATGCCATATTATTTATTTGTGAATTTGTGAATTTTTGAATTTTCGATTTGGACATTTCTCTCTCGTGTTTTAAATCCATCACTTTTGACTTTAAAAATCAAATTCAAAATCACTCCAACAATCTAATTTTAATCAGGTTTAAATTTGAATTTAATTTGAATTTAAATCCAAAGCATCCAACCATTCATAGATTGACATTTTTGTAACCTCTTCACCATATCTGAAGCACAGACAGTACAGAGGAGACGTTAGCAGACTCAGATCTGTGTGGTCTCCACAGACTGATGTAAACACTGTCCTGGTGAGAGAGCTTCAAAACAGCGTGAGAATCTCCAGAGAGACCAGGCTTCATCACGCCTACTTCTGTCGACTGTTGACAGAGGATTCTTGCTGAATTTAAACTATACATGAACTAAGTAAAAAAAATAGAGCTCAACAAAAACATCTGACCTCCAGTGTCAACGTAGCCTATCAGCCAATCATCAGCCAATCAGAATGTAAGCATAATTCTTTCCAGTAAATTTAGAAGAGCTTTTTCCAAGACTAAATCAAAATTGATATTAGATATTTCATATATCACTCCTTTATCTTTATTGCTATTTCTAGCATTACAGTCTACAGTTGATCTCTGTTTGCAGATGACACCCTAATCTTCTTTATGTCATTACTGGCATTACTGTCAAAATGCCACCAGATACTTACAGAAGTACGGTAAGCTAATGATTTACAAAGAATACATATATATATATATCTATATATATATATATAGGAATTCTGTACGACCGCAGTCACACTTTTTAGTGCATTCAAACACACTCTGATTAGCCCACTCAGGTACAGTTACCATCCAGCCGGCAGCCAGTTAGCTTAGCGTAGCCTAAAGAGTGTAACAACAGAGGTGTGGCGTGCAGTAGTAGTAACAAAGTAGACCTTCGTAGCTCACTGATCTCTGTTGAGTGGCTAAAGTGATTGCGGTGTTGTGAAACGGTACGTTCCACATGAGCTCCGTGCTGAGCTGCAGTAATTCACACACCAGGGGGACGGGACTGTGGGCTGTATATTCTTTAGAGCCTTCAGTCCAACACACAGCTATTCCAGCTGTATGTACCTGATGTGGAGGTCAGTCTCATCAGTGGAGCCGTAGAGCATTTATGTTGGAGTAATGGGATCATTATTCATGTTCTTTTTTCCTTTTTTTTTTTCTTAAGTTGAAAATTTCAAGCCGTTTAAATAAACCTGAATTGCACACAGTATGTGTGAGAACTGCGACCAGCAGCGTCACGTCAGGATGAATCGTCATGTGTTTACAGGCCATAAACAAGTGCACTGGAGCAGAGCTAACAGTACCAGGAGCAGATATCAAGGTACAGTACAAGTGTGTGTGTGTGTGTGTGTGCGCATTTGAACTACCAGATCCCTGTGGACTGATTTGTGCTCCCCAGCCGTACCGCCATCCAGCCAATCCTTTTATTGAGCCACTTCAATTCAGTGGGTTAACTGAGGTCCACTCATGTGCTTTCAAGCAAAGAGTGAGAGACAGTGACAGACAGTGAGTGAATGTGCAGTAAACCACCATGCCAAACCACCCCCCCCCACCCCCCGCCTCCCTCCATCCATCTAGCTATCTATTAGCCTTCAACTGTGGAGCAGAAATAAAATTCTCTGAAGTCGGTTACTGTAATTACGTGTATTAAATCACAATTCATCAAATTAAACGAAAACCACTGCAGTCCGGCGCGGAGCGTCGACCAGTTGTCAGTGAACATGTACATTAAAGGAACATTCAGTAAATTCACACAAACTCCTCTGGGAGCTGCACACGGAAAAGATTAGCATCTTTTTAAAAACAACGAAAAAACATTTAGGACCTGTACATGTAAAGGAAGCTTTGGAACAAGCAACCGTACTATTTAAAATATATGTCAAAGTATATGTATACATATATATGCAAATACATGGGTATATTTTAATAAGTATGTGTGTATATACATACATATATACATTTATTTATATATATTTTTAATGATTTTTTTCAATCTGATTAATTAATGTGTAGATGTAGATTAATTATGATTAATCATGATAAACGCTTAATTGTGCTATAGCAATACTCCTCACACTTTTATGAAGGGGGGGTGGGGAGTAACCCCACTTTGGGAATCACTGGGTTATAGCAAGAAGCCTTATGGATGGATGGATGGATGGATGGATGGATGGATGGATGGATGGATGATTTGTGGGTCGCAGTGCTTACATCACCGGGTGATTTGTTTTCCTACAGATTCCTCTGCTTCCACTACTCTCTGATGTGCACACATACAGCAATAATCATCCATTTTTGATGCATCAGGACGAGCTTTCACATCATTGCCAGCCATGCCTGTGCTTTCATGTTGTTGTTCATGTTAGGCTCAGCATCGGAGGATACATTTGCATTAAGTCACATATTTTGCACTGACCCTCAAACCATTGATCTGACTGCAGGGAAACTCACATTACATTCATTTAGTAGGCACCACTTCAACAACTGAATGCACGGTTTTTCTGTCTAACCGCGGCTTCATCAGCCCCAGGTGGACTCAAAGCTACTTCACTTAATTATTTGAAAGCATTTGCAGTTGGCTCCGCCCCACAGAGACCAGTGTCGACAAAGCAGGAATACATGGGACGACAGATCAACTGATTAGCATTTTAAAAGGACATACCTCAAAAAAACATCTCGCTTCGGCAATAAATCTGAGGCTCTCCAGCAGCAGCAGCAGTGACAGCAGCAGGATTTACATGCAACCATTTGAAAAGGAACTAAACTGCAATATTTCCAAGGATCGACAAAAGATTGACAGTTCAATTCTGGCCAAGTGTCAGAGGTTAATTGGTCTTTGTTGTTTATGAACACAAAATGCCTTACAGACAGCGAGGTTTGTCACGCCAAATCACTGTCCACTGTTTTGCTTAGCTTTCAATTCTCCCCAGGGACTTTTGAGCTGCTAATATCTACAACAGCAAACCATTGTTAAAAATATCAACGTTAGCTGCTGGAGTCCTTGGTGGGTTTTCTAATTGGGCATTATCTACTGGTTGTTTTTATTTAAATATCTATACATATATGTTTAGCTATACAGAGATATATATACTTTATAAATAAAGACAGCCAATAATATATACATATACGATATATATATAGATATATACACACATATTTGCATAAATTTATATACACATATGCAAATATATATAGATATATACACACATATATGCATAAATGTATATACACATATACCTCAAACACCTGAAGCCTGTTATCACTCCATCAGAAGTCCATCTGTTTGCAGATGACACACCGTTCTTCTTTCACGTCCTAAAGCAGAGTAACAGTAACAGGTATCAGTGTTGACATCCACCAGTGATTGATGAGAAGAAACATTTGAATTGTTTGCAGCCCAGTATTATTTAATATGAAAAATAAACTAATCCCGTCCTACAAATGTGAGTGTTGTGAAAGAGAGGAGGTTTACCTGTCACTGGTCTGGATGTCCAGATAAGAGAGGGAGCAAAGACCTCCCTCTGGACCTGGATCTTCAAACAAAAGATGGTCATGACTGACCTTTATAAAAGAGTCTGTAACACGTCACAATGAACAGATTTAAAAACTTTAAACTTTGTATTTTAAACAAAACTAGGAGGATGTCATAAAGGCCAAAAGCAGAAATGAACGTTGAATGTGAGAGTCGAAACAAATTGCAAAAATTATGAATCTGATGTTATTAAATAAATGAGAAGGAAGGACTCCCACTGGAGCTTATTTGCTCTCACCTGTTTACAGATGACTATTTGGAGGTCATGTTATAAAGTTGGTCTGAGAAAATCCTCAAGGTTTGTTTGGTTGTTTAGATTTGAGCTCAGAAAAGTTCCATCTTTTCTTGAAATCTTCTTGGAACCTTAACTTTTCTTAAGTTAAAAATATGTATTGAAAAGTTCCATCTTTTCTTGAAATCTTAACTTTTCTTAAGTCAGAAATATGTATAACTGTCTGGAGAGGAGGGAAATTGTGCATAGAAAAAACAATACTAATCAACCAAAGCAGGAGCCACAAAAAGACAGTTTGCTGCAAAAGACCATTTGAAATCATTTAGATTGAGAGAAGCCGAAATTAAATTGCATTTCCAGCTACAGATGTAGTTTGAGTCAACTTGGATCAAATATATAGATGCAAAAACAATAACAGGAATCCTCAAATGTCTTGTTTTGGCTGCAAAAGGCAGCCAGTGGTATTCAATTTAATGTGGGAGCAGAAAGGCAACGAAAAAATATACATTTTAAAAAGCTGAGGTGACTAACTGTAGCTGTACTTCAGTTAGAAATATTTTAAAGGGTGAAAGTATTTCATTATATATTTCAACTCAGTAGTTAGATCTCAGAACCCGTGTCACGGTGGAGCTCAGTGGTTACTACAGCTGCATCAGCAGATGGAGCTTTTGTTGAATTACATCAGAATTCATGGTCCACAGAAAGTCAGTCAGTCCTCCAGAGAGCAGCTCCTCCATGGGTACAAACTGCAGCACCTGTCTGTCTCTGCCAGACGACTCACTCCCATCCTCCTCTCCTCTTAAGAGCGCCCCCATGCTGTCATTTATACCTGTGAGAACTGGCAAAACCCGTGCCGCAGCCTCAGCACAGAAACCAACACACACGAGCACAGCTCCGACTGCGCCGCAGGGGGGAGGACACTGAAACGTGACCGAGCGAAAGCACGAATGAAGGCAGAAGACGAGCCCCGCTGTGACACGGGTTAGGGCAGAAAACACAGGCAGCAGCAGCGCATCCCCCGTGTTCAACGTCTGCAGGGAATACACAACGCAACCCACAAGCTGCTGCTGGTACTGCGGCTCCCCGTCGTGCATGGTGACACGGTCTCTTGGAGGCAGCGAAGGCTCTGGCACAAACCTGAGGACCAAATCCCCCGTTTGGCTCTCATAGTCTCTCCACACTGAGTGGCTCCCAAACACCAGACAATGTTGTTTCTCACTGTTCCTGTCCCCACTGTCCTCCTTGATGACAGACATGAGGGGGTCAGCACCAACCGAGCGGCAGGAGCCACAGGGTGAGACGCTAGTCCAGTCCACAGCTGTGTCCGTCAAGGCCTCGTTGAGGTGGTTTAATAATCCACCATCACAGAACGGGGAGTTTCTGATGGTGGACAACGCTGCACCGATGATAACGTACCATGAATGCACTTGACAATTGGACTGAGGACCCCCCAGTGTGCAGCTTGTCCCACTGGCCTCAGTGCAGTGTCTTTGTATCCAGGTGGCATGGTAACCCTTCTGGATGCGTTCCCTCCAGCTCAGGGTCTGCAGCTCCCTCCGCTGATTAAAGGAACCTGTTTGCTTCTTTGGTCCTTGAGATCGTCCCCCGGAGACGCTGCGGCAGGCAGGACTCACTGTGTTGCGGGAAATCCATCTGCTTCGTGGAAGAAATCTCACCTACACACAGTGACAAACATGAGTCCCTCATGTCAACTACAAGGCCCAATACGTCGAAATCATATTAATTTAATACATATGTGTGTACATATATATGTATATATGTGTATATATGTGTACATACATACATTCATTCTTTTTCCAACGTTCAATCCTGACATTTTGACCAATATCGCTCCGATACAAAGTCTGAGTATCGGATCGACCCCTCCCCACCATGTAGTGTCTATTTCAACCTGTCACTGTCATTTTAGCCCAATGAATTCTGCGTTTCATTGGAATAACGCAGAAAGAAATAAGAAAGAAATAATCCATTCAGTGTCACTGTCATTTTAGCCCAATGAATTCTGTGTCATCGAAAAAGAAATAATGCATTCAGTATTTTTTTATTTATTTATCTGTTTTTATACTATTTAAAAAGGGAATTAAGAAAACACTAGACTTTTTTCACATCAAAGTTGGTTCACCTTAGATTTCTGAATTTCCCAAAGATGTTGCTCCTTTTTTTCAAGCCTGATTTTGTTCATTTGGCACAGATAACCTCGACACGTATTTTATTTGGTTTCTGTAAAGCTAGTTATTGCATTAGTTAGTGTAACCAAGACCGATTGCTTTCTGAAACATATTAATCACTGTAGTAATTACAGACAAAAGAAAGGCGTTTTGTGCTTAGAGGGAGTGGGAGATGAATAGAATTAAATGAAATCTAATCAATCTCTGAGTTAGCTGTCATTAACTATAATTAAGTTATTAATGATTTTTAAATGTCCATTAGAGCAGCTTTTAACCCTCATACCATATCTGGTAAAAGTTGATGACATTCATTTAACCTTTTGTCTGAACTCTGTGTACCAACCTATCTGGAAAATAGGTTTGCAACTCGAGACATCCTACCTGGAATCGCTGCAGGTATTCTTGAGCCGTGCAGTCCCTGATGTAGTCAAGCCGTTGTTTTTCTTCTGCGCTGATGTTTCCAAACAGTCTTAAGTTTTCAGTGATTGTCTCCACCTGCAGGGTGTAAAAGTAAGAGCACACCTCGAAGTGCTGCTTCAGGAACGACTCTGGAATAAGTTTATTTGGAAAAAGGGCCTCTTTGTCAACAAACTCAGGACCATAGTTCCGAATTAGCTTTGAGAGCAAAGGCCTCACGGCTTCCTTGCCATCAAAGTTCAGACACACGATGTAAACTTCAGAGTTGCCGGCCTTACTGGTGGCCGGTTTGAAGACACTGACGGAGCCGAAACAGCAGCTGAGCAGGTAGAGCAAGCAGACGGAGGAGTGTTCATACAACGTGAACATTTTTAGCACAAAGGAGCCACCGGTGCTCAGGAGCAGCAGTGCAGACGTGACCTCGCAGTAATGGAGTGATGCCACAAGAGCCTCCTGCTCATCTGGGTTCTCCTGGCAGTCAAAACTCCCATCAGCCGTCACCAGATCAACTCTGCGCATGTTAGAAACAAAGACTTGAAGTTCCAGCAGGTGCTTCTGGGCCATGATGTTTCCCGTGTTGTCTGAACCAAAGAACCACCACGGCAGTGTGTTAGCGATGAGCCGATCGTCCGCGATGGTGGTACTGCCCTCGTTAGCCTCATGATACGGGTTAAGTGTGTTTGCTGCCCAACTCCAGTCACAGTAGTGCGTGGACTCATGGGTTTTTACGTAGTGGTTCAGGGCAGTTATGAAGGCACCTGGCGCTTCACAGAGGTGAACTGTGTTCAACTCTCCACTGTGGAGGGCCTCCTGTGGAAGGAGATTAAAAGTTCCCAGGATTTCGTAGAACTTGCACCAGGCTTGAGTGCAGATTTCTGCGTTGGCAGCAGAGCGCACGGCAGGGATCACTTTCCCAGCTCGGTTGGTGGAGTTGGTGTGCTGATGCCAGACCTGAACGTTCTTGTCACTAAGCTGGTTCTTTACATCGTTGAGAGCCTCCTTCAAAGCCTGCAGCAGACGGTGTTCCTCCGCCGTGTGTCTCAGACACTCGTTAGGATCTGGGAGACACCACGACCCATCGCTAGGCTTCACGTAGTGTTTAACTTTGCTAAAAAGACCCTGAATTTCAGAAAGTGTTTTAGGGTCAGATGGCGCAGTGTAGGTGTCCAGCATGGCTTTTCTCCTGGTCCCATTCCCCGTGCTCATTCTCTGTAGTGAAAGAAAAAAAAGTCAGAGAAAGAACTTCCAAGACAAATACTCCCCCTGTTGGACCTTTGGCAGGTTTTACGGGACCTGCTTACAGTACACTTTTACAGACATCACACGGTGAATTACACCAGACTCAGCAGCGGTCACTTTTTTTCCACTACATGCATGAGACGTACTGGGTAACAAATGTCCATTCATTGTGATGTGGTGCCCTCCGCTGACAGGACCAGGTGTAAATACTGCGTAATGAGTCATATGACCAGAGCTCAACCAATCACAGTGTTACAGTGTTTTTATAACTCAATATAAGAAACATCAATGGCTGGAGGTAAAGTTTTATCCACAGCTAAGTGAGCGTTTGCTCAAACCTGGTCTATAGACAAACAAAGGAAAATAACTTTGGCTCAGTTAGCCAAATCACATGTTAAACCCACTGTGATATTTAACTGTGCTGTTCATCAGCTAAGGCTTCTGGTGTCATTTCTAGTAAACGAATCTTGATGCGTTAATAATTTACTGTCTTAATCATATTAACCCAGGGGCTAATTCTCTGCTCAAGTGCACGTGATTTAGATGTCAACACTGGGGCGAGAACAGGCGTATTTCTGCCTTATTGCTTGATTAGTGTGACATGGTTCAGTGATAAATGGTAATATGTGGCATGGAACAAACGCCAGCGCGCTCATCTGAGATTCATCATAAATCACTCGTGTGAGCGCTGCGTCTGTGCATGAGAGTCATCTACCATGTGCTGCATTAATGAATGGTTCAATTGCTATAAACATTAAATCAAGAAAAAACAAACAGTTGGCCAGATGTTTTCTTGTACACCACAGACACAGGCTGAATAATTTGTTCACAGTGAAAAATAAGTTTCTTCTTCATCATGTACACAAACCGATCAATCAAAGATGCTGTATGTCAATAAACATGTTCAAGTGTAAATCAACGTTAACCTCGTATTAACTACAATTACGTATTGATTGACGTACCTCGTATTAACTACAATTACGTATTGTCTTGTCACACATTTCATCACATGGTCGTAAAAACAACATTTTTACAAGGTCTTTTAAAATGGAATGATTTACAAAAGGATTTTCTAAACAATTAAATTATGCTAAAATTGCTTTTATGTATTGACTATAAATTCATTATGGTAATTGCACTATTGAGATAAAATGATATATGCACTATTGAGATAAAATGATATATGGGTAATGAAAAACATTAAAATTAAAACTAACGTTAGTTGAGCATATTATTAAACACAGCCTGAATTAATTTGTAATTTGTTACTGCTCAAATTACAGTGGAATTAGTATATTTCAATTTGATTTAGTATATTTGAATCTTATTGTCAGAACACTGGGGGGAATAACGATAGATTACCACTTCACTTTAAATGAATATAAACATGTATCTTTTAGTGCATAAACGTTCATACTTTTCTTTTCTCTCTAAATTACGTGTGTTTGACATGTGGTCATTAAATCCTACTTCAACAGACAACGAATGAGGGTACATTGAAGTATGTTGTTGATGTTTGACGTACACATACCCACGCAACCATTAACACAAAATACAAACAAAAACCATGCAACCTTTGGGGATTGTGTTGCTAATTTAAGTAAAAAGAACCAACTTCCGGTCCCTCGCTCTCATGTCTTGATGTCGTTAAACCGGCGGCGGCTTATTTCACTGACTCACTAAATCATTATCATACATTTATATTCGTGTTTTCATATCTGCAAATACGTAAGAACATCCCTCAGTCGAATTATTAACAAACAAGACAGAAAAAGACACTTACGAGTCTGTAACTGTGAACCGGAAACAGAAGAGAAGCTAACGTTCCGCAGGACCACAACACGCGTGCGCCAAGCAGTGGGCGGGGCACATGAAGGCTGTATTTTTACAATACACAAACGATAATAAATCACATAATTAATAATGGAAATTATGTTTTTGTTGTTTGTTTTTTGGTTGACGTGTCAACTTCTAGTTTCAGGTCTTATAATATTAAGATATTATCTTTTTAATCTTTGTTTTCGGCATTATGCAAACATATATATATATATAACACACTTTTCTCCACAATGGTTAATAGATATTTAAGACCTTAAATGTGTTTGTTTGTTGCTGATCTGTTTGTTTATTTTATTAGTTCTTATTTGTAGTTGTATTTGTCTAACTACTTTGTATCCTGGATGTGTCAAATCACAGAAGGTTAACAGTTCTATTGTAAAGATTTACACAAAATATACAACTGACATTAAAGTAAGTGGAGTTTAAATGCCATGTGTAGATATAAAAAACCCTAAAACCCACTCTGGATGGACTATAAACCATACTGTATAATGAAACCTGTTGTTGTCCATCTGCTTCATTATTCCTAAAGGGCAGCTGCCCTACAGATCCAGCTCTCACCCACATTTACTTTCCTCTGGTCTCAGCTAACAAACAAAATGCGTGACTCAGCCTGAACAGCTTGTTTTCTCAGTTTCCTGGAAGATAAAAGTGCAGAGCAGACCCGTCTCTGAGTCGCTACAAGTGCATCAAAGCAGGTGCTTTAATTATTCAAAGCACAGTTGATTTTCTTTAAAACTTACACACACACAAAAACAACGTACAGAACGAGATTTTCCAGGAGCCCAAGCTTCTTCAGTCCAGGTCTGAAATCCAGAGGCACAGAGACGGTGACAGGAGCCTCTCCTTCACCTGGGCTCATCACTGCTGCTGCTGCAGTTATCTCACAGAGGTCAGGCCTGAGGTCAGACCTGCACTTTCACTGCTCCACAATAAGAGCAGCAACATGATGGATGTTTTTTTTATTTTATATCAATCATTATGCTCTCCACTTGTAACCTTGCTGCATAAAGAAGAAGTGCACAGTCGGACTGACACAACAGTACTACGTAGGTATACGCCGTGTTACTGGAGAAACAGAAAACCAAAATGTGTACCAAAATTATTTTTGGTACACACAGCCACACACACAGGCCCAGGTTTGTAACCTTCAACACCAAAAGACACATTATAATTATTTTAGCAGAAAATAAAATTTCACCACGGACTTAAAAAACATTTTCAACCATTTATATCCGTTTCCAACCCTTTTTGTACCAAGAACCGCTCAGCCAGTACCGACCGTTACTGTGGATCATTCAATTTTCAAAATAAAACATGTTCTACACTTTGTTCCGTTAGTATACGAGTCTGAATGACATATTATTTTGAAATATTGACAGCTTATCGTAAAATGAAGAAAGTAAAGAGATCTTTAAAGAAAAGTCAAGAAAAAACTATAGAACAGAGTAACGACATCTTTATGGCAGTTTTTCTTTTCATGGAAAATAAAACCACATATCACAGCGACTTCCACACAGAACGCCGTTTCAGTAATTAGCACAGCAACATGCCGGCGGTGGGCTCTCAGTAACGAAGGGCTACAGGGGCTGGTGTCATAATGAGGAGTGGGAGTGGATTTTCACAGGCTGCGGAAAATTAAAATATAATTATTGATAAGTGATTAATGCAGTGATTCTCGACCGCTGTGAATGTTCTAGAGAGAACGTTGGAGAGAACCGGAGAAAACGCTCCGATCTCACTTTAAACCTTTTATTTAGTGAATGCAAATCTTTTGTCGTGGTTCGTCTATAAGACACGGACAGGCAGAAAATATTCCTCCACTTGGGGGCAGCAGATGGCTATAAAAACTGTTTTTAACCCAAACAAAGCGTTTTCAGGTTTACATTATCAGAGGAAAAACCGATAACGATTCTTACAGATATTACATAATCATGCTAATATCGGTTGGCCGATATTATCGGACATGCCTACTGTTTAGAGTTTTTAAACTAGTAATTAATCTATTTATTTATTTTTAACTATTTTCTTATAAGATGACCTGGATGACTAAGAACCTACGCAGACATGTTATTTAAATAAGATGATTTTTTGGGGGAACACTCAGTTCTCGTGACACGTCCAGTTCTTGTAGTAATCAAAAGAGAGGAAAAAGAGAGTTGGTAAAAGCTATAAGTGCAGCCCCTGTGGTCTGGGGGTAAGAGGATTAGACTCTGGAGTGGGGGGTATTTTCACACAAATATTCAGATTATATTCAGATAGAGGGATTGTTGCATAGCTGCTCCCTCACCAGACTAGACCTGACCAGATCATCATCAAAGAACAGATTTTTTTATCATAAAGCAACACTAAATATTTTCTGAAATATGTGATGTTTTTTCTGTCCAGATTCATGAAACGTCTTTCCTCTGAGGATCATTTTTCTTACTCGTCCTCAGCTCCAGGGGCAGGTGGACCACTCTTTCATTTTGGGGTCAGAAATGTGTTGAAGCAGCAGCGGACTGAAGAGTTAGCCTTCAGACAGGACTGCTGCGTAGCGTTTCCAAACCTGCTGCCGGCCAGTTTTCACTGAGTGTAATGAACTGTGTGATTTGTGTGCTTTGCAGTGATTTCTTTCTCTCCGCATTTAGTGGATTTAGTCAGCTGGGGGCCAGCAGGTTGAGTTATGATCCCGTGGGCACAACACCAGAGGAGAATCACATTTGAGCTCTTCACTTCAGGACGCTAATGCTGCTGCAGATTGGAGGGCATTTACATAACTTAAATGTTCCTTTGTCAGCGTGAGCCACAATCATTGACATTTGTGGAACAGTGCAGTTACTCTCATGTTGGCGTGGTTTTAACCACTGTTTGTTCTGAAAATTATTATTTAGTTGTTGGTTTTAACCACTGTTTGTTCTGAAAATTTTTATTTAGTTTTTTAGACAAATAATTTGTCCACATCTGTGGAAGTGACCGGCAAAACTATTACGTGCTGTTCCAATAGGGGGCAGCAGATGGTTATAAAACAAAAAAAAGAGAGAATCTCAGCTGTTGAAGAAGAGCTTCATGTTTTTCTTTCTTTAATTCCTGCGACCCTTTCAGCATTGTGTTCAACTAAATAGGATCAGGTTTCACACTAAGTAAATTGTGAATAAATTAAAACTGGTGATTTTTATAGATTTCGTTACAAATACCTCTTGTTTGATGGAGAGCAGTGAGACTTTTGTAATGTAAAACATTAAAACAGTTGGTAACACTGCAATATTCTAACGTTGTATTTCCAATGATAAGATGTGTTTTTGTTCATTTTCTATTTCAGGCCAATCAGGTTTTCTTATTCAGTCTTTTTGAGTACTTATGAGTAAATACTGTACAGTTATTTTTGGAACACAGTCCTTGCATCCTAACGTTTCTAGCTGTTTCTCTCTCTCTCTCTCTCTCTCTCTCTTCCATTGTGTCTGCACAGTGATAATAAAGATGATTCTGTTCTCGTCTCTAAGTAGATTTGAGTCACTCTGCTCCACCGCTGATAAAACATTCTCACTGACTCTGTGTCTTCATACAGATAACTATTAAATATTCAGAGATGGTATTTAAAGCTGGTACTGCAGTAATACTCTGGGAACAGAGTCTACATCATAGAGGCTGGTACACAGACGTAGTCAGTCAAAGGACCCATTACTTTAACAGTTGTGTACCATAGTACTGGACAGACGTAGTCAGTCAAAGGACCCATTTAACAATTGTGTACCATAGTACTGTACCATAGTACTGTATTGTGGTTCTGATATGACGTCAGTTTACCCTGCTGCGCTTCCTTGACGTATAACGAATATTCTGAATCCAAATCTAAAAAATATGTATCAGTTGTGAGGAGCCGTAATGTTTCAGGGAATATTAATCAGATTTTTCTCATTTCTAGAGTATTTCTTTGTTTTTTTTTAAATTACAAATCAGGGATCATACCGTGACGGTAGAAGTTTTTAGATACTCGTAAGAGCTGAAAACATCCCTCTGTGGTGTGATGCTGCCATCTGCCGGCGCTTTACCACAGTACCACAAAATGACGCATAGAAAGAATAAAATATTGAAGTATTTTTTACCGTAATATTTAGTACATAGTGACACATGGTAGTTGGCAAGGCAATTAACTCTATACATTCAAACACAAATAGGTTATGTACTCCTGTACAACTACTATACTGTAGTATTATATACCTCAAACTGTACGCGAGATCAAATATATTATTAAAAATGGTCAATTAAAAACGTTCATGGTACTAATGGCCGTAGTACTCAGAATTGGTAAATATTTCCATGACAGCGATGGTTGTGCTCTGTCCAAAGATGAAGGCTCCCACGACGATGGTGACGACCCCCCACCAAGTTAAAATACACCTGTGTGAGGTGAGGGGTGAGGAAAGAGGGAGAGGGAGGGAAACAGTGGAAATATGAGGCTGTGTCGTGACTGTGTCGTGTGTGCTCACATTTGACCAGCAGGTGGCGCACAAGTTTTTTAAATTGAATTGTTATTTGGTCAAATTTATTTTCACACTAACTGTCAGGGTTGACAAAAATGATGTGGAACTCACCTGACTTTTGGGCTCACACTCTCTGTCTGCATTATAAACACGAGGCAAAGACCTGAGGTGAACACACACACACACACACACACACACACACACACACACATTCCACCATTACATGAATTCTAAGGAAGTATATTTTGACAACAGGAAATCGATATATTAGAACTTTTGACTATTGATGTCTGATATTAGCTTTTAAAGTTTTCATACACACACACACACACATACACAGATTCCATCAACACACACACACACACACACACATTCCACCATTACATGAATTCTAAGGAAGTATATTTTGACAACAGGAAATCGATATATTAGAACTTTTGACTATTGATGTCTGATATTAGCTTTTAAAGTTTTCATTTATCGGAGAAAAAAACGATAACGATTCTTACAGATATTGCATAATTATGCTAATATTGGGCTGTTAATATTGGTCGGCCGATATTATCTGACATTCCTACTTTTGACAACACAAAAATATTGTGTTAAATTTAACGTAAATCCAATGTTTGTTTACAGTTACTGTAATGACTGTAAACAACGTGTGAATCACATGCAGTTCCTCTTATCACCTGTAAATGTTTGAAGCACAACTAAAACCCCATCCCTTCCCTGTGGAGTGGAGCTTGAATTCATACCAGGAAAGATGAAAATGAAGAAGGCGCTGATTCCTCCGATGACACTAATAACTTTGCTCATGTCGGGGACAAACATGGCGATGAGGAGCGTGACGGAGATCCAGATCACAGTGAGGAGCACCCTGCAGCGACTCTCAAATGAGTGGGTGACCAGCCCCCAGCGACGTCTCTGAATTCTTATCACCAGGTTCAGGATGACAGACCTGACGAGCAGAGAACAGAACTCATTATTAATTGATCTCCATGATGACAGACCTAACGAGCAGAGAACCGAACACATTATCAAGTGATTTTGAGTACAACATTTACTACGGGGTGACTTGCCTCCCCAGCAGGAGAATGATGGGGTAGATGGTGACGATGGAAATTCCAAAGAGCAGTCTCGCGATGATCATGACCACGTCGTTGCCAGGATATGACATTAAAATATCCGGGGCCACATCTCGTCCAAATGTCACGAAGCCATAGACACCTGGAATATCAGAACATCAGAGAAGAACCTGTTCAGTTTGTACCAGGTGAGGTCACATGACTCCATGGTTCACAGCTGACTGCACCTGTTAGAGTGTAGACCAGCAGACAGAAGAACATGGAGAGCACGGAGATGAACATCCAGTGAGAGATCTTCTGGTTCTCCATGCTGCTGTAAATTGCTATACAAGCTTCGTGGCACTGAGGAAGAAAAAAAAAAATTCCACTCATTTTTTCATTTTATCGACATGAACGAGTTGTATATACATTTATGTATATATGTGTATATGTATAGTACATAAACACATAAATACAAATATATGTATATGTATAGTATATATACATACATTTGTGTATGTATATATGTGATATATATGTGCATATGTATACATATATTTGTGATGTGTGTATATACGTATGTATATGTGATATATATCTGTCTATATATGTTAATGTGAAATATATGTTTAAATATATACATATATTTGTGAGCATATGTGTGCATATATGTATGTATATATAGTATATATTTTTACATACAGTATATATGCAATATATATGTGAATATGTCTATACACGATCTTACCTGGAAGCCAAAGCAGATTGTCGGCACTACGCTAAACATTGATGCCCATGAACTTATTCTGTAAAGATAGAAAAAAAAAACACAATTAAAATACAAAAGTACAGAGAAGTCAGTTTTAATCAACAAATGCTTCGTTAACACCCAGTGTGACTGACCCTTGACTGTGTATTGGAGTTATTATGGCTGTATGACTGTCCATCAGGTAGTATTTGACGATGACCGATACACACAGGTACGTGGCTGCTAGTGTTCCCAACACACTGGAAAACAGGAAACAGGAAGACGGAAAATTGTTTGTTTGTTCGTGACCGTCACAGGAATTCCACTGTCGCCACAGCAGCGCGGTGTTCACCTGGTGTATTTCTGGATGCCGATCTCTTTAGGGATGGACAGTGGCAGAATGATGATGAGGCACATGATGAAGAGGGCAAATCGTTGGTCAGTGTACCAGTGATAGGGCATTTCCCCCTCAGTGGAACCAGTGACGGCTTCATACAGAGAAACACACACTGGACAGAGAAAGGAATGAAGTAATATCTACTGCAATACTGGGATATACACAACAACAACGACAACACACACATTCTAGGTTGGGTTTGTCAATGATGGAGCTTTGGAAATGTTTCAAATATTTGCGAAAATATATATTGGAATTGCATTGCCTGTAACTCAGTCCGAACAATCAGATGAAAGACTCCCTGATGGGTGTGTATGTGGGTCTGTTACTTTGTGTTTTATTATTAGCAGTCAGACTTCATCGAGGCTAAACAGAGCTAGCCTTGCTAGAACCAGCAGCCTCGCTCTCACTTTGGGACTTAAAGAGCAGATCTGTAGCCTGTTTGAAGGACTACGAAATTAAACTGCGATGCTTACATTTCTCCAGCTGGTCCTGGACCACCACCAGGAAGGCCACACACACCATGAAGAGGTTGAAGCAGAAACAGACCTCACAGAGTTGACCAACAGCTGGTCCACACACTTCTCTCACTACGTCCTGGTAGGTTTTCTGTCTGCTGACGGACGATGCGTAGCCAAGAATGACCAGACCGCTGATCAGGAACACCAGCGACACCTAGCAGGAGCACCAAGAGAAAACAGATTAGATACAGATTTCTGACCAAAAGTTACGACATAAAGTAATCGAATCCCAGTCTGTAATGTTCTGTGGTGACAATTTGGCTAACGTTAGCCACCGTGTCTTCTAGAGTTGTATTGTGTTTTATGAACAAAACTATCTTCTTGCTAACTAGCCCAGAAACACAGTGGGTTGGAAATATTGTTTAAAGGAGTACAGTCTCCTACTCCTAGAGTACACGAAGATTCCTGGAGCTCTGGGGCCTTTGACCTATTTCTGAAAAGTCATTTCTCCAGACACACTCTGTCTCTTATGAGCTGAAGCTTCATTAGCGCTCACCTGTGAAGAGGTTGAGCCTCTTTCACACCAAGGAGAGACTGACTCCTCAGTCTTTAATGTACACAAAGCTAACCACACTTGTAAAGGACGACACCAGTGTGTATAAATAATTAAAGTTACATGTAGGTTCATTTTAAATTCGCAAAGCCTAAAAAATAAAAACCTGGATTAAAATAAATTTCGCAACAAATGATGTAGCCAAAATAGCCCCAAAATGAAAAGCAAGCTAAGCTAACGCGGCATAAAATAATAGAGGATTTCATGACTCTGTAACCCTGATGCTAACTGATAACACTGGCCCTGAAATGATCAAAATCAGTCGACCAAAGTGAAAAAAGAAAACAGAAAATGTTGCGAATACTTAAAATTAGTATGTGGCTAATTGTATTTACTTCTACTAAATTCAAGAGTAAACCTTTATACATTTATATGTATATGTTAGGGATGTCGGATTTTAACTTTTTGCCAATATCCAATAAAACAATACATTTCCAATATCAACCGATATCAATATTGACCTGGTATTATTTATTTATTTATCTGTACAAACCACTGTACGAGTATGAGATTAATTAAATGAGCTGCAATACTGCCACCTAGTGACTTTCACTTTCATATACAGCCGTTTTTCACCCAAAACAATTTTTAGAGTACATATCATTTGGCGAAGCCAAGGCATCTGTAAGAATTGATGACGATTCTTACAGATATTACTTCATTATGTTACTATCGGGCTGATAATATCGTTAGACCGATATAACCGAACATCCCTCGTAAATATTATGTTAGTACATACAAAAGCACGGTTAATAGAAGAACAATGTCTTGCAGTCTTGTCGTCAAGTTAGGCAAAACTAGCTGAAGGTTAGCCAAGAACAAGTGAAAAGCCAGGAAACCCCAGTGAACTTTTTCTTTTGAGTAAAGGAGAATACACTTCTCTACCGGGGTCATTCTCAGCCCTGGCAGCACCTGGTGGTAAAAACATGTCATTGGCCATTTTCTAATTACCCTTTGAACATATATTTTAAATAAACAAATCTATTTTCTGGAAAAAGAAAAAAAGTGTACATGCTGTTGTACACAGTATTGTGTACTTCTGGTCCATGGACCGAGGGCGACAGGTGTGTGACATCACAGCTGGACTCACCATCTCCACTGTGATGGCAGTGTTCACTCCTCCAGCCTTCTGGAAAGCCCATGGAAAGTTCAACAATCCGGCTCCGAGGGCGGACTTCAATAAAATAAAGATGGCTCCAAAAGACCCGAGCCGTGGAGGGTCAGCGTGGGACGCAGACCGGGCCAGCAGGCTGATGCTCTCCCGGGCCAGTTCCTCCATGATCCTGGACCAGGTGTGGCTGAATGTAAGGCTGAGTTACTGTGTTACTGTATGCGCAGGAGATTTGGTCCAACTCGTGGATCCATCCCCGCAGACTGGAGGCACATATAAATATGTCGGACCTGTAGGACAGCTCACGTGGTCTAATTGGACTTTTTGACAGTTAACCATTTTACTCCCAGGTGAAACATTTGACACTAAAGTGAGTACGTTTGCTTGTGTCCACTGACTCTGCCCCCGCCCCACGTCTGCCCCTCCAACATACAGCACTGAAGTATCAGGTCTATAGGACCGGTCTAGTTTTCTCATGTTGTCACAGCACATAGTCTGGTGGAGTGAATTTAAAAAAATAAATTTCACCCAACTTTTCTGCCTGATATTTGTTCCACCACCGGTCCAATACTCTCCGTTTCCTTCTTTTGTGCAGCTTACAGGATTGTAGCAGCTGCTTATTTCCTGCTTCAGTTAAGTCCTGGATATATGTATGAGATATTACTGTCTGCAACACGGGTCATTCATAATCCCAGGCGTGTCTTACGTCCCCGGCCATCTGTTACAGACCAGAGAAAAGTCACGACACGACACTGTAGCTTCTTTACTTTTAATGTTACATATATTTTAAATGTTAAAATATGTTTGGTCCAGATGAGGTTTCTGAAACGCTGTTTATTTTCATTTGCCACGGGAAGTACGGTTTCAGGGTCAGTGGAGTTTTTACCACTGAGGCACAAATCAAGAAAATATTCTGAAACTGAAAATCATTTGACTTGGTTTTCCCCAGCTGCAAGAGCTCTGTGAACCCTTTGGGGAGCCCAGCCCACAGTTTGGGAACCACCGAGTTGGACCGCTGCATGTATGGGGGGGGGGCTTTTAAATTCTAACTATTAAAGAAGCAGACTGAAGCTTTAAATTCTAACTATTAAAGAAGCAGAAGTGACATCATCAAGAATTGGCAGGAATTTGATACAGAAGAAAAGTCAGCCCAGTGGCTGGGCGGTTAGTTTTCTTTGCCTTACAACAAAAACATCACTTGTCTGAGCCCAGGCTTAGAGTTACTATTATATTAAATTATTATGTATGTATAATATACAACCTTTAGAATATTTTATACTATATATACACATATATATGCAAAAAAGTATATTGACATATATCTACACACACACAGAGTGGCAAATTAAAGATTTTTTTTTTTTTAAATAAAAAATTTCAAACAAATCCTAAATATTACTCATGACATTTCTTCTATTTCTTTTATTTTTAGTAAAAATCCAAAATATTGATAGAAAGAAGATCAAACTAAACTTTACAAGAAAGCCATTCGTATTAAACCATTAAATCGCTTCTCAACTGCAAAAAAAAAAGATTGTGGGAAAACAAGGGTTTTTGTTCCTTTAGGAAATTTAACTTATAAATAAACTCAACTTTAATGTTTAGGCCCCGTCTCACGGTTTTCCTACGGCTGTCCGACTGAACATCACCCTGACTACGGCCTGGTTAAGAACAGCAGTGTGCTGCAGACAGGAAACCACAGTGTACCAGGGTGGAGGCGGGGCGTGTGTGTGTGTCCCTTCAGTGTTTCCTGGTTGGTCATGTCAGACGTGGGGGGGCTGGCGGGCGCAGGCACCGTGCTTGGCGGTAGGGTCGTGCGGCTGGCACACACGTCGTAAAGGTTTCCGGAAAACTCCGCCTTTCGGGACTCTTTTCTGAGAGACTCCCAGACCGCTGCTGCCTCTCCTGGACAGCCGGTCAGCGCTGAGTTGGCGCAAACATGGAACGTGTTCCAGGACCTTCAAGGACCCAGAACAGAAGTCAGTGTTAATTCAGCTGTAAAACATCAAACATTCCAGGTCTCCTGGAAGTTCCTGGAATCTCTAATAGCAGCCAAGAAGAACGTTCAGAATGATGCTAATATCGGGCCGATAATATCGGTTGGACGATATTATTAGACATCCCTTTTATACAGTACCATGTTAGTACATACAGTACCAAGGTTAATAAGAGGGACAATGTAGTCTTGCAGTCTCGTTGTCAAGTTAGCCAAAACTAGCTCAAGGTTAGCCCAGAACAAGTCCAATATTATCAGACATCCATATTTGTTTTAATGATTTTTGCAACAAAGGGTATCCTTTTTAAAATGAGAGGGCCAAATTTATACTACACATACAGTATACTACATATACTATATGTATATATACATTTATATATACATATATATAATGTATATTTGCTTTAAGTTCTTACAACAAGAGAACACACTCACCTGCAGATGGCGTCGATGTCTTGTGTGTTCTGGTCTTTCTGGGTGTCTGTTGCCAAACTGTCGCCGAGTGTCAGCAAACACTGAGCGAAGCTCTTGTAGATGGAGTCACATGACACAGGAATCACTGCTGCGTCCCTCACAGGGAGCAGACCTGTGGACCAGGGACCAGAGAGGAATCAACATGGAGACAACATTTACTCAACTCCAACAGTATTACAGCATCAGCCCAAAATCACCAAATAGTGTTAGGGAAAAACAGCTGTATATGAAGCTGAAAGCCACTAGATGGCAGCATTGCAGTTCATATTATCAATCTATTTTAATAATCAAGGGATTGTATGCAGAATGTTGGTGCCAGGGACTCATACAGAGGTTTGTACAGATAAATAAATAAATATCACCAGGCCCTTAATAGTATTTCAAACTGGGGGGCGGGGGTTAAGTGTTCGAACAATATCACCAAAAATTTAATATCAGACATCCCTAGTTTTTACATTTAACGGTAGGATTTTTATCCGAAAATTCCAAATAGGGAAAACCTGCAGAGATGTAAATACAGTCAATATATCATAGAATCAATCACTGAAACGTGTTTCACACCTGAAATAAACAACACTATAATTCTAACTGGACCTCCAGACTCTCTACACCTGAAGACTCAAATCATTTATCAACATATTTCCCTGTCGAGGTTTTTAAACTGAGGATTTTATATCAACCCTGTCCTCGTCCTCGTCCTCGTCCTCCGTCCTTCAATCCAGAGATTCTGCTCTTCTACTCAGCAGCTCCAGGTTAAACATCTGTTGTTCCCTGAAACTAAAAATACTTAAATACTATTTTGTTTTTTTATCATAACCCATGACTTTAAACACAAACACAGGTCATGACTCACCTTGGGGTCAGTGAGCATTTCATCAAGGTAAGTGCATTTCTAAAAACCTGCTCCAATTCTGTACCTGAATGAACTGTGTCCAATATATATGACATTATATGAACAGTTCTATTCACTGATGAGTTACTGTTTCCCTCATCAACACATTCAAACAGAAATGAAGTTAAAGTGGAAACACGTCCTCACCAGAGCAGAGAGAAACGACAACGACGACGAGGTGGACGAGCCGCTCTCCTGCGCCGGCCCAGGGTCTCATCATTCTGGTTGAGTGGATCGAGTTCCACCTCTGAAGCCGATGATCGTCATGTGGAGAAACGGTGACTTTGAACTGTTTGAACGGTGGAACAGTTGGGAAAGTGGCTGCTGGGAAATCCTGTCGTCTGCCGAGGATTCAACAGATTGTAAAAGTGCAGCAACACACAGAGGCGCGCAGCTGCTGGATTAACAGGGTGGGTGAGTGTGTGTGTGTGTGTGAACATGCAGATGGATCTGAGGAGAGCTGGAGGGAACCAATGACAGGATCACAGATTACCATCCTGGATTAAAGAGCGTTCTCATTTCCGGTCTCGTCTCCTGTATTAAAAACATCTATTTGTGGGTGAGTTAAATCATTGTTGTTTCATGTCTCTCTGCTGCAAAAAAAAGAGAGATGACGAGAGATTAATGAGGAGTTTGTTTATAATGATGTGAAATAATTTATTAAGTGTTGAGACGCCAAGGAGAAGAAGAAGAAGAAGAGAAAGTAACCAGAGGATCAACAGGAAGTCTGTGAGAACAGGAACAATCTGAGGGAAATCAAACCTGTGACCTGTTTTATCTGTCACTCACTGACCAATGAGAAGACATCTCAGCAGTTCAAACCCACCAACTGAGGGTCTTCCATATATAGGCATGTGACCTCACCCATTGACTGTCCCCTATCCCCGACCCTGAAAAAGGTGACACAGTTGAAGACAAACTAATCAATTATTTAAATCCCATCTAAAAAAATCATAAACACAACGATGAAACAGTTCTCACCAAAATTCCAACGTTTGGGAAACAGTTCTCACCAAAACAACGTTTGGTTTTAGTGGATGGATGGATGAACAGATGGATGGACTCATGGACAAATGGGTTGATTGGTGGAGGGATGAACAAGTGGACGGATGAATGGACGGCGCCTCCACATGTCCAGACTACCGCCCTACAGTTGGAGTCACTCTGTGCATTAGTGAGGCCTAAGTCGTGGTTCACATCTGTATACTGACGCAGTAATGGTTGACCATCGTTAATCTGCAGATTAACAGAACCATTAACTACACAGTCATCTGTAATCTGTGTCAGGACGATCAATACATCAGGACAAGATGGCCGCCCTCCATGACCAACACCCTGACCGTCACCTGGTGAATATGTTCAACCGGTCAAGAACACATGGTGTCCATTCATGTCTGTCTCACCTGGTCCACTGTCATCCAAATACAAATACTGAAATACTCTGTAGATACTCTGACCCAGATATCTGAGTCGTACCAGGTAATACACAGTTTCATTCTGTCGTTTCTTTACCTTGTTGCCATTTCTTGACATTGCTGTTTGGGCGGGGGCACAGTGGGGGGGGGGGGGAAGCAAAAGCCGTATACATTTGAGTGACAGGCTGGGATTAAGACATGATGCAACACTGTGGAGAGTAAAAAAAAATCCAGATGAGATTAGGCTCTGGATCAGATCTGCCCCCCCCCCCCACTAACCCCCTCCTCTGATTCAACTCATGCATTATCACAATTGATGTTTGAAAATAACTCATTTTCAGTTATTATACTGGCAGCAATTAGGAAAGTGGTGCTCAAATCTGCCACCCGAGCAGACAAATAAAGCAAATTACCCTGGATTACACAGGATCTCCAACTGATCCAGATTTAGGAGCTATTTTTACCATCCATGTCCCCTGACCATGGAAATGGTAGATTTACAATTAAAAGTGTGAAACGAAACTACACCAGGATGTTGTGAGCTGAGCAAACTGAACGGGAAAATATGAAACGAACAGCATTCCGAGTCATTCGGTGATGTAATTCCACAGTCGGCCACACGTATCTAAATCACAGGAGGAAGAAAGAAAACAAAGAAGGTTCACAAATGTAAATTTTACTTTTAACTTCAACAACATTTTGATTTTCAGATGCAGCGTTGACCACAGGCCTGTCGGCGTCGGTCGGTAACACAGGGTTCAAACGTTAATGATAATTAACAACAGTGGTCAGTGAATGCACTTTGATGCAAGGCCGCTGCCACCTCATCTTCATCCTCATCCTCATCCTCACCCAACATTCACACTGAATTCAGAAATGGGTTTCGCTACAAATACTCGCAGTACTGCGAGTATATTTTGCGAGTATTGACTGTACTGTCAAGTAAAATGACAGGTAAAAATGATGTGACGAAGACAAAGATGAGGATCATCAGCGTGTTCAGAAACCAAAGGTTAGTCATGTGACCCTAAGGGGAATTCCATTTATTCAGACCACACCAGTAAAAAAAGGGGCTAAAGCACACGTTGGAAGACTTTCTCTAGTTTCTGATACAGAGACACGTTTTCATTCTAACTATTTCCAAATGGAAATCATATTGTAATGACATCAGCTCTGGCAACATTTACTCACTCCTCCATAATAATAATAATAATAATAAAAAGCCTTTGCAACTAAAGACAGTTTGTTGCATGAGTCCAGGGTTTGTTTTGTTTTAGCTAAAAGCTTGAATGGATGATCTGGTTGACCTGCAGGTCAGCGGTTGTTGTCCTTTAAAGCAATAACAAATGAGCTGCTAACTATCAGCTACACCTAAACTAGGCTGCCAACTAGGGTTGACCTCCGACCTCTGAAAGAGAAACTCCACGTGATGAGGAGATGTCATCGCTGCTCATTTCGTACAAAACAGACGACACCGCAGTGTCTTTCATCCTCCCCGTCGGTGTCACCCTCCTTTAGTCTCGGTCTGTGTGACGCTCGTTCCGTCTCCTCCTCTGATCATATTTTATCATATTTTCTTCCGCACGTTGAACGGCACCGGGTTCCCGAAGAGCAGCCGGTCCCGCTCCCGCACCTCCTCCTGCAGCTTGGCTTCTGCCACCCGCAGCTGTCGGATGGTCGCCTTCATCTCCTTCATCTTCACCTCCATTAGTGCTATTATGTCCCGCTGCTCATTTAGTTTCCGCAGCAGCTCCGCGGACGTGGTGCCGGTGGTCAGGGAGTACGAGTGGTCCAGCGGGTTGTTGCTTACGTAGTGCAGAGTCGAAGCCCCAGCGGTTTCCACCGGGAGATCCTCGCCCGCGAGCTCTCCGGTAGCGCCCGCTGGGGCGGCGTTCGCGGTCCCCTCCTGCTTGACAGGTAGACGTGCGGTGCCCAGATACTCGCCGTTCTGGCCTATCTGGACCACGGTAATGGTGTCGTCGATCGCCTCGCCACCGGTGGTACCTTCAGCCCCTCCCGCGGTGTTGCCCAGGACGCTGGTGATCACAACGTTGGAGGTGGCGGTCGCGGCTGTGGCGGGGGGGGGGGGGGGGCGCCCCGCCCCCCCTCCCGCGCCC